AATGTTTATTATTTAACAGTACCTATATTCAATTTTGCAGTATCATCGTGACTTCTTAGTATACAAGAAATTCTTCTTGTTTTGTTAAATTAAATTAATGTTTTATGGCAGGATGTTACAAACGAGGGTTTTTTAGAACAAGGAAGGAAAATGTTAAAAATATCGAGAGAAAAAACGTGGAACAATTTCTTTTCTTGTTTGGTATGTTCAGTAAAAATCATAAAACAAGTAAGTCGTCTAAATTCAAACAACGTTATGCATTATTAAGAAAGTATCCACTCAACGGTAAAAAACAAAAACCGGTTTTATATTATAATATTATGTTGCCCTGAATTCGTTGATATAATTTGTTTACCATTTTATTTTTTTAGAGGACTCAAATATAAAAATGTGTGATTTTAAGGTTATGTTTGTACAACTATTATTTATTTTTCGGTTTCATAAAAATATTCAAACTTAAATATAAATTTTATTAGGTAAAGATATCATTAGTTAATTCTGCACCAACAAATATAAGACTTAGTGCCGAATTGAATCCTTTGACAAAACATGAAAATGCAACGATTTAGTTCTTGGATTATATTTACAATTAAAAACGCCAGATAAAATACACACACTAACGTAACTACACTCACAGGCAAAATAATCGATCCACACAAATTTTCGATGAATTTCAATCGCAAATAACTTTTTTATTTGATTTCGGATTTAAACAAATATGACAGAATATTGTAGAATCGCTTACATTTTAAAAATTACTAAAAAATACACGTACGTTTATAATATACAGGTTTAATTAAAAAGATGTTTTTTACCATAAGTTTAAGACACTCTGTAGAGTGGCAAAACCGTATATTGTTCTAAATTAAGTTTTAATTATTAAGTCACATCTATTTTTAACAGTTTTGTTTTTGGTTTACCTTGATATAGGTATTTATTTTTGTAGAAAATATGGATTTTTAAAAAAAAACATTGCAATTTCCAATATTTTTCCTGTATGAAGAACTAAGGTTGCTATGGTTCATCCATAGCCTACGGAGGATGACAGTGACAGTTTTGTTGAATCATCCCATACTTGGACATGTCATATACAGCTTTTAAAAGCTATATAATTGTTTTTTGTAAATTAATGTGTTAATTTTTAGGTGTCTTCTTACTTTTAAAAATGTCTCCGACTGATGTTGCCCTTTGTACTTTACTTCTTGTGACGTTTAAAACACTTGCCACGTAATACTGTGACCGTCCATCCTGGATTAAATTAATGGCTCTGGCAACATCAGTCGGGGACATATCCTTCTTTTAAAGTGAGAAGACACCTCAAAATTTAAACAATAATTTGCAAAAAACAATTTGATAGCTTTTGAAACCCGTGTATGACATGCCCAAGTATGGGATGATTCAACAAAACTGTCACTGTCATTCTCCATAACGGATAGACCATAGCAACCTTAGTTCTTCATACAGACAAATATTGGAAATTGCAATGTTTTTTTAAAAAATCCACATTTTCCACAAAAATATATATATCGAGGTGAACTAAAAACAAAACTGTTAAAAATAGATGTGACTTGATAAATAAAACTTAATTTAGAACAATATACGGTTTTGCCACTCTACAGAGTGTCTTAAACTTATGGTAAAAAACATCTTTTTGTTTAAACCTGTATATTATAAACGTACGTCTATTTTTTAGTAATTTTTTAAAATGTGAGCGATTGCCCATTAATTTATCTACAATATTCTTTAATATTCGTTAAAATTTGTGTGGATCGATTATTTTGCCTGTGAGTGAATATATGCGTTGAGTTTCTTAATCAATTTATTTAGCTGTGCAATTGAAACTTTGCGAGCAAAATTTGTCGAGTAAGACCTCTCATTTGTGAAAAAACTAATTCCAATAATTTTGAATTGTCATCATTCAAATACCAATTAATCCGACTCAAACCTGCTAATCTGTTGCCTGGTTACATAACACTTAAACAAAAACAATTTTAACGGTAACCTTGATTTAGTGTTGTGCGTTTTAAACCATGGTTGCGGTATGGCAGAGTAAGAGCAATTATATGCCTTTTTGCGCCAATTATATGCAGTTAATATTCGAAAAAACTGCTATTAACTATTCTCACTTCCAATGGAGAGTCCTTGGGACTCGCGAACGCATTTTCGAAAAAAATCAACACGAATATGACATTTGCATGAATAAAGCATTATGCTATTTCTCTCTTGCAAAGTGTTCCACGTTAATTTAAGCCGACGTACCAATCATGCAGCGAGTTAAAAAGACACAAGAGACTTCTTGTGAAGGCACTTTTCGATTTTATTTTTCGAACTATGGATTTGACCAACAAGACCCCCTATGAATTTATAAAGAGGCTGACTTTAATTTATCGCCGCTGTTTTTAAAAACAGGTACAGGCATTTGCATTAAATAAATTGCGTTTAATTTTCTTTATATTTTTGCACACTTAAGCATCATATCCATACCAAATCTAATTAAGATACTTTGCCGGTAGCAAACTTAAAATTATCTAAATTCCTTTAAAGAATAATTATTTTTTATGTTCATTTATATGTAAATTCTTAAACAAAATGTAAGTCTGTAGACTCCAGCTATTTTTAAGAAATCTGGACTTAATTATGCATATATTAAGTTTATGTTATGTAATTTTCGCGATAATACTAAAACTAACGTATTAAAAAGTCGCTATAAATATACCACGTTGCAAAATAGTAAAATGCGAGTTGGACACCTGAAGAAATGTTTACGGTAAAATTTTGTTTTGGAATGTACAGATGAATGACCATATAAACGAGTAAATAATTCTGATTTCCTAATTTTAAGGCAATTCTGCGCGAAGAATTTTGATTTTAATTTAGATAATAGTTTTACAATCTGTGCCATTGCCCAAAGATATTCATTAATAACTTAGAAAATAGTTATTTATGTCATTATTGGCCCAAACAGGCTTTTTACAAAATGGCCTACTTTTTTCAGAAAAACATTTTACAGTTCGTTTTTACCCATATGTTGCTGTTTTATAAAATATATTTTTTATTATATTATTATTATACATATTATACACATTCTTAAAGTTGTTTGGTAATGGAAATAATGTTTTCAACAAAATAAAATCATGATTTTTACAAAATAAAATAAATAGAATAGAATAAATAAAATAAATTCAATCACATAACCTGTCAAATGTTATATTATTTGAGATTTGACATAGGTTATATGTCAAACGTCAAATCTGACAAATTTTGCAAATTCGATAATTTTAATGTAATGTAATGTAATTTTAATGTAATGTATACATTACATTAAAACTATCGAATTTGCAAAATTTGTCAGATTTGACGTTTGACATAACCTATGTCAAATCTCAAATAATATAACATTTTATAGGTTGTGTTTATTTTATTTATTCTATTATATTTATTTTATTTTGTAAAAATCCTGATTTTATTTTGTTAAAAACATTATTTCCGTACCAAACAACTTTAAGAATGTGTATAATTTAATATTTAAATAAGTACTTCAAAACGATATTAAATTTTGTGTGGTGATAATAAGTAATATAAGGTTAATTTAAACGATGTCAATTTAATGTTGAGTGACTCTTTTGCCACATAATGAGGAGATTACAAGCGCAAAGCTATTAAATAATAATCTTGCGTTAATATCACTTTATAGTTCAAGTTTTTGCTTTAACATAACATATTTATGAGATTTAAATAGCAAAATAGCAGTATTAACACAAAATCCAGATAATTCGATTTTAATTTATCGCCAAAAAATGTACACTCACAGGCAAAATAATCGATCCACACAAATTTTCGATGAATTTCAATCGCAAATAACTTTTATTTAATTTTGGATTTAAACAAATATTATATAAATATTGTAGATACATTCATGGAGAATCGCTCACATTTTAAAAATTACTAAAAAACACTTACGTTTATAATATACAGGTTTAAACAAAAATATGTTTTTTATTATAAGTTTAAGACACTCTGTAGAGTGGCAAAACCGTATATTGTTCTAATTTAAGTTTTAATTATATATTATATTTATTTTTGTGAAAAATATGGATTTTTTTTTTTAATTGCAATTTCCAATATTTTCTGTATGAAGAACTAAGGTTCCTATGGTCCATCCATAGGCTATGGAGAATGACAGTGACAGTTTTGTTGAATCATCCCATACTTGGAAATGTCATATACAACTTTCAAAAGCTATCAAATTGTTTTTTGTAAATTAATGTGTTAATTTTGAGATGTCTTCTTACTTTTAAAAATGTCTCAGACTGATGTTGCCCTTTGTACTTTACTTCTTGTGACGTTTAAAACACTTGCCACGTAATACTGTGACCGTCCATCCTGGATTAAATTAATGGCTCTGGCAACATCAGTCGGAGACATATATTCATTTTTTAAAGTAAGAAGAAACCTCAAAATTTAAATATTAATTTGCAAAAAACAATTTGATAGCTTTTGAAAGCCGTGAATGACATGTCCAAATATGGGATGATTCAACAAAACTGTCACTGTCATTCTGCATAGACCATAGTATACAGAAATATATTGGAAAATGCAATGTTTTTTAAAAAAATCAATATTTTCCATAAAAATAAATATATCGAGGTGAACCAAAAACAAAACTGTTAAGAATAGATGTGACTTGATAAATATAACTTAATTTAAAACAATATACGGTTTTGCCACTCTACAGAGTGTCTTAAACTTATGGTAAAAAACATCTTTTTGTTTAAACCTGTATATTATAAACGTACGTCTATTTTTTAGTAATTTTTTAAAATGTGAGCGATTGCCCATTAATTTATCTACAATATTCTTTAATATTCTTTAAATCCGACATCAAATAAAAAAGTTATTTGCGATTGAAATTCATCTAACATTTGTGTGGATTGATTATTTTGCCTGTGAGTGTATTAATTTAAATTTGTTTTTTTTCTCGAATATGATAAACTTCTTACCTTAGTTTTTGATGTTTTGGGCGACGAGGTTCCAACAACGATGGCGTAAATCTCGATTTCGTACACGTCTACGCCGTCCTCCCTATCCAGCTCCACTGCGGTGGACAAAACGCCCAACTTGGTGTCAATATCGAACAATCGGTCCACTTGTACGTTATCACCTGTCACGTTCGTCACGTAGTACTCCACTTCCCCGGCGTGAAAATTCACTGACACAGTCAAAATACTTGTGCCGGGCGGCTCGTTTTCGTACACACTGCCGCTATAAACGTCACTACCGAAATCTGGACCGCGGTCCAGATTATTCGTCGATATAATCGTTAGGTACGCCTCCGTGGATTTTCTCTCACTTTGGACCGCTTCATCTGTCGCTTTCACTGAAAGGCGATATGTGGCATCGGGCTTTTGTAGACTTCTGCGTAGTTTTAGGGCGCCGGTGCTTTGATCCAGTTTGAATAAATCGGTATTGCCACTGGTTAATTCATAGGTGACTAAGCCGTTCGTGGCTGAATCCAAGTCTCTAGCAAAAACGTTCATTATGGTTAAACCATCCTTATCTGCGATTTTGAAGGGTTGCGGCATTACCGCTGCGTTCATCGATACGAATATAGGGGTGTTATCGTTGATGTCTTCCACGATCACTGTTACCAACTTTTCTGCGGATAATCTAGCTGTTATAGGTTGCGCTTGATCTGTAGCGATCACGGTTAATCTGAAGGTATCTATGGTTTCTCTATCGATGGGTAGAAGGGTGTGTATTACTCCCGTCAAAGTGTTAATACCGAAATGTCTTCTAAAATCTTCGGGTTCTTGTTGTGATATAGTGTAAGTTACTTTTCCATTTAGGCCCGAGTCTGGATCATCTGCTGTTACAGTTACTATAGGTGTTCGTACAGGGATGCCTTCGCGGATTTGCCTCACAATTGCGGTACTGGGGAAACTGGGCGGGTTATCATTGGCATCCTCCACTGCGATCGCAAACAGTATGGTGGTGAAAAGGCGCGGGTTGCCGTTATCGCTGGCTGTGATGTTGAGCTGATAGGAGCTCAACTCCTCGTAGTCTAGCTGTTTGTGCAGATAAAGAACCCCCGTGGTGGAGTCAATGTGGAAGGCGTCCTTTCTATTTCCCGCCGTGATGCTGTAGGTGATTTCGCTGTTGACGCCCAAATCCGCGTCCGTGGCTCGGAACTGGATTAATTCCGTGTTGATGGCCGTCGTTTCCACGACCGATATTTTCGTGTCGGTTTGCGTGAACTCCGGAGCATTGTCGTTCTCGTCCAGCACATCTATCGTAACCGTCGTCGTTGACGTTAATTGTTTCGTGATGCCGGCATCATGCGCCAACACTGTTAGAGTGTATTTCGAGTTTGTTTCGCGGTCTAGAGATCGAGCTAACGCTATTTGCCCGGTAGCGTCGTCTATTTCAAAACGGTTTTCCGCATTTCCATTCGCAATCGAATAAAAAACGTCACCGTTCAGGCTTTCGTCAGCGTCGGTCGTGTACAAACGGAGCACTTGGGTACCGTTGGCCGATCCTTCCGAGATTTGCACTTTGTAAGGCGCTCTAATGAATTTCGGAGCGTTATCGTTTACATCTGTCACGAAAATGTTTACTTTTACTTTGTCTTTCAGCCGGGGATTTCCGTTGTCGGTCACTACAGCCTCCAGTGTCATAAAATTCTGTCCCTTGGTTTGCACCAAGTCTTCGCGATCGAAAACATGTAAAGTTTTGATGAAACCGTTCTTCGGATCTATGGAAAAATCGTTCTGCAAATTGGACAGAGAGAAAATCAATTCAGCGTTTCTTCCTATGTCTTTATCGCTGGCCGTCAGTTTTCCCACAAAAGAATCGGGCGGTTCGTTCTCTCTGATGCTAAACGCAAATGTGCTGTTCGTAAATTCAGGGCTATTATCGTTTTCATCAATTACATGAATAACAACGGGCACACTCGAAGATCTCTGCGGATTTCCTGCATCGCTAGCCATCACTGTTAATGAATAATAATCTTTGTCTTCCCGATCCAATGCCTTTCTGACATACAAGTACCCATCGGGGAAAACGCCAAACTTATTCTCGTTATTACCCTCGACTATGCTGTAGGAAACCCTTCCGTTGACTCCCAAATCCGCATCGCTGGCCGCCAACGCGAAAAATCTCTCGTTGACCGGGGTCGACTCCAAGAGCGACGTTTCGTACGACGTGTGATCGAAAACGGGCGTGTGATCGTTCACGTCCTCGATCGTTATCAAGACAGCGTGTTTCGACGACAACGGCGGTTCCCCCGAATCGGTGGCAGTCACTTCCACGTTCAGCGTCGTTCCGGGTTCCGCCCTGATGGGCCTGTTCAGATAAACAACTCCGGTCGCCTCGGATATCCTCAACTGTTCGTCCGGATTGTAACTCAGGCTGTACGTCACCCTGCTGTTTATACCTGCGTCCAGGTCCCTGGCGCGTGCCAGATAAACCTCTTGCCCTACTGCGGCATTTTCCGGCAATTTTATTTCTTCCTTATCGCGTACGAATACCGGTTTGTTATCGTTGAGGTCCTGCACGACGATGCTGACGGTCGTGTTGCCGTACGATAATCCCACACGGGCCACCACTGTCAAACTGTACGACGTCATCTGCTCGCGGTCGACTTTTTTAGCTGTCATAATTTTCCCGGTGTTCTCGTTAATGTAGAAATTGTGCTTCGGGTCGCCGTAAACTATGGAATAAGTGGCGTCATTATTGCGTACGTGAACGGTGCCGACGTCTCTCTCAATATTTTTTGTCGACTCTTTATTATCCTCGGTAATTTCGAACTCATATCCGCCATAATTGTCAAAGTGTAATTCTTCTAGGTATGACTTCTTTATAATCTCGACTGTTGCGTCTTGCACGGCTCTTTTATCGCCGTGATCTTTAGCGGAGATTTTTAGCTTGTGAATGGGTTTGGAGGAGCCTTTTAGGCTTTCGCGTAGAGAAATTACGCCGGTCCACTCGTCGATGAAAAACAAATTGTCGCCACCGTTCTCTAGTTTAAATGTTATCATAGCATTTTCGCCGTCGTCTTTATCAGTCGCGGATACTTTTAGTATGGAAGCGCCTGCTTTGATATTTTCCGATACCGGTACGAAATATTGTTGTGGATAAAACTCGGGGTTGTTATCGTTGACGTCCAGAACGTTTAGGTAGACGGTAGCGGTGGAAGATTGCGATGGGATGCCTTGATCTTTAGCGACAACGTTTATTTCGTACTTGGAAATTTCCTCGCGATCCAAGTTCCGTTTGGTCGTCAATTGTCCTGTTAATGAGTCCAATTGAAAAGTGTGTTCGTAAATCGGCGCGACAGCAGAATGTAATGAGTAAGTAACACTTCCGTTAGTGCCCTGATCGTGATCAGAAGCCGTCAGCATCGCAACGAGCGTACCGACAGGCGCGTTTTCCGACAGCGTAACATTAATTTTCGACTGAGAAAATTGCGGCGCTTCGTCATTCTCGTCTAAAACGGTAACTTTTAATTGGGTGTACGCCCATTTGGGATTGGGCCCTCCGTCTCTAGCTGAAATGTTTAGTTCTACAGTACCTTGTATCTCTCTGTCCAGCGGTGCACTTGTCGTAATTAATCCGGAGTTTGAGTTGATTGCGAACCACTCGTGCTCGTTGCCGGAGACAAAAGCGTAGAAAATTTGCGCGTTCACTCCGGAATCCTCGTCGGTGGCTGTTATTCCCGCTACGTATGTGCCGGGAGGAGCGAGCTCGCTTAAAATTGCGCTATATTCACTTTTTTCGAAAACTGGTTCGTGATCGTTCACGTCATTTACATGGATAATTAAAAAGGCCGTGGCCGTGCGAGGTGGCGAGCCTTTGTCAGTCGCCACGACCGTCAAATTATACTTCGAGATCTCCTCTCTGTCCAAAATCCCGTTCACCCTTACTATATCGAAACTGGGCGTGTAATCCAAGCGAAAATGGTTCAGCTCGTTCCCCGATATTATCCTCACTGTTGTATCCCCGTTCAACCCTTCGTCCAAGTCTACAACCGAAACAGCCGCCACTACAGAGCCGTTCCCTGCATTCTCGTCCACAGTGGCAAATCCCGCTGTCGCAGGAAAATATCTAAACCTTATCATAGGGTCGTGGTCGTTGGCGTCCACCAAATTGACTGTTACGTAAGTACGGCCGTCCTGTCTAGGCGAGCCGTGGTCCCTGGCGAAAACGGTAAACACGCAGCTCTTGGGACAACTGCCGCCCGGCTTTAAGGTCTGCAGGCAGTTTTGCTGCGGGCATTCCAAAACTTCCGTGGTCGAAATGAGTCCGGTTTCCGGGTCGACGGCGAACTGATGCTCCGTGTCCGCCAAGTAGTAGGTAAGTTTGGCGTTATCGCCCAAATCGTTGTCGGTAGCCATCACTTGCAGAACAGGTGTTCCGGGGGGAACACTCTCGCTCAACGAGACAATATAATCGCTGTGGTCGAAAATAGGCGGGTTATCGTTTACATCTAAAATGGTCACGTTGACTTGCAAATAGCCGAACTTTGGCGGCTTGCCGCCGTCCCTCGCCGATATGTTCAGGCTGTAGACACCCTGCGTTTCCCTGTCCAACTTTCCTGTCGTCTCTAGGTGTAGGTAGGACGTGTCGCCGGTAGGATTGGCCGTCACAACCAATCGAAATTTATCGTCTTTATTTCCTGCAATAATTCTATAATCGTCGTTTACGCCATTCACACCGGTATCTTTGTCAGTGGCGGCGTCCAAAAGCAATCGCGTACCGGCCGCCGAGCTTTCCGAGAAGGAAACCGCAATACTTCGTTCGGGAAATTCAGGTGCGTTATCGTTCACATCATTAACGACAATCCGAACTTCGATTGGGTAAGTCGGTTGACTCGACAAAACCACCAAATCGTATCTGTCGTTTTTGAGCTCTTCCCGATCCAAAACCGCGTTTGTTTTGATTTCGCCGGTGTTCGCATCGAGCGTAAACTCTCTAGGAGGCTCGTTGAATCTGTACGTGAAGCCCGGTTTCGTTGGAATCCTTCCCACAGCGGTACCCTTGGGCAACCCTTCCGCAATCTCCAGCGTAACTCTGGTGTCCACGGCCCTCGACTGCATTTGCGCCGAGTACCCGAAAGGCGGTTCGGTGACGGTCTGTCGTTTTCTTCCGGGTCCGGGGCCGGAATTGTGAGCCCCTGCCACCATAAAAAGGCCTGCGGTCACCAACAAGCAGCAGCATAATCCCCACATGTTGTTGTGTCACTCTTATTTTTTCACAACATAATACATAAAACATAGAATTGCGATCGTCGATTTTTATTTGGGCATTTTCGTGGCGTTTAAAGTTTGACACGTGTGTCTGTGTATTAGATACTGCAGTGCTCTAACATTCCTTCACTTCTTCGCCCCGTCTATAAACTTGCTTCGCCTCTGGACGGTTCGTATCTCGCTCTTACGCGCTGCGGCCGACCACAAGATATCTCACTCAGCGTGGTATGCAATATGGCCGTCACAGAGCCTGCCAGAGATCAGCACTGCAACTCTTTAGTCCTCCGTATCAAAAGAGGATTTTCTCGCTCGAAAATTCACTACAACACTTCATCACACATTCGCACTATGTTTTCATTCCAAACAACAACAACAACACTTAAGTCATAAGAGTACCGTGCTGATTGTTTTTGGTCGTCGATTCGCGGTAAAGGCGCTCACATGTACACAAACTGTATGCGACGAGAGAAAAACCTGCTCGGGTACGTCGTTAAGTCAAGTTCTTTCACGGACCGCGCACGCTACTCGACTAACCGCCGAAGACTGAAATCTCTCTTACCTGAGAGGAGAATAGTATACCTGATACCGTGTTGCCAGATCACTTGTTCTTCGGATGCCCGGTCTAAGCATAAACAATATTTATGAGCATGTCAGGTGAGATGGCTATGAGTCGTAAATCTATTGTGGTTATTTTTTACTGTATAATGCATTGCCTTCAATGAATTAATGAAGGGTTAACTCAAAGAAATTTCTAGGCCCAGATTTAAACAAATAACCGTCCATGCTATGATTCCAAAATTATCCACTATTACATAATTAATCGGTCACGTTGTCAAATAAATAAAAATAATTTTACGGCCACTCGTTCAAACCCAACAAATAGATTTATAGATAATTGACAGATACCGGTTTGAGGTCGTTTACTAGATAATCTTAAAAGCGCAAATTGTAAACAATGATTGCAGTCACTTTATAAATCGCAATAATCTTTTAAAAGAAATCCATTGTTACAATATTTAAGGAAGATATCCACTGCTAAATTTTCAGACAGACCGTTATCTAATTACTGGTGTGAATTTACATAACCTTATGGCAAAATATCGCATATCCCATTTTTTGTTTTAGCTTTTATGGACTATATTGAAAAAGATCGTGACTTGAGAAATAGAAAAGATTCTAATAATATATTAGTTTAGAGTTTTATTAGGCACGAGCGAAGACAAACACAAAGAAGAATTTAAAGCCATTTCTTTTATTAAACAGTTGACATGTCAAAGGTCAATGACATCTGTCAACTTTTAACTTCAGCCTGTGACTAAAATGCCCAAAAGCCACTGTTGCTAACTTCAGCCCGTGACTAAAACGCCATAAAGTCACAGCTCGTCAATTTAGGAGTAGATGATAGTATATTAGGTATATATCAAGTTTTCTAAACGTCATTAGTTACGAGTTTTATTAAGCACGAGCGAAGCTTGCGAGCGAGTGTTTAATAAAAACGAGTGTCTAGAGAGAAGTTTTTAAAACGAGCTGCATACTATACTTTATCCACAACGAACAGAAATAAGAATTTTATGCTAATTTTAATTAATCTGAAGAATATAACCTTACTTTTTCGCAATTTAAATCAAATTTTATTTGTTAAACATTTGACATTTGTCAAATGTCAACGGAATTAACCTCACTTTTCTCTAATTTATAATAAAGCTAACTTCAGCCCGTGACTAAAATGCCCAAAAGCCACTATTGCTAACTTCAGACCGTGACTAAAACGCCATAAAGTCACAACTCGTCAATGTAGGAGTAGATAAAATAAATTTTAGGATATATCCTATAAAAATTACAAAAGAACGACGTTATAACAATGTTCCCATCATTTTTATGAAACATTATGTTGCAGAAAATGATATAACACATGTACTATTTATTCATCCTGTTTAATATTAATACGGCATAAATTAATAAAATACAGAATAAATGTGTAATTAAGTATAATTTTATAATGTGCTTACATGTCGTATTTAAAAAGTTCTCTATTTACATTAAATTATTATTTAAATGAATTATTTATTAAAATTTAACAATGGGTAAAAAATAATTAAGTACAAATTTAAACTTTTATTTTAAAAATAGTTGTTTATTGACCTGTACCTATAGTTTGTCCACCTGGCAAATTTGAACATTTATTACTTAATTTGTTTACTGGTTTTAACCTAGCGCATTGTTTGAAATTTTTACCTGACTACAAGAGGATATTTCTAAAGAAAATTTTAAATGGTTTCATAAACGACTAAACTTTCTAAAAGCAAGTTCTTACTTGCTACTAAAAAACGCACGTTGTTAATCTATTTTTAGCTCGACATCGTCAAATATCTTTATTCAAATACAAACAACCAAAAAAAAGAACTTAAAAGCAAAACCAACAACGTTGTGTTTTCAAATTAATTTTTAATTTATTGCCGTATTGCGTTACTATTGTGTGAACAACCTCTTACAGGTCTCAGGAAAATATCGATTTTAAATAATTTTGGTAAATTTACAAACCAGTTTTTGGCGAGCATATAGTTACTTCTCATAAAATGTGTTAAAATAAACATAAAAGTGTAATAAAGATTAGCAAATAAGCGAAGCGATTGTTAAATTTGTTTTATACAAGTAAAAAAAAGAATAAAAGAAAATTTATTGCATTTCATTTGCATACTAGATAATGACAAGAAAAGAAACATTAATACTTTTAGTGTACATGCAGTAAATCATAGTGATTTATTTTTGATTTTATTTTTATTTTCTATTAACATAAGTCGGTGTTCTACTAAAGGTGACTCTACTAAATATTTATTGTATCTCATAGGTACCATTTATATTTACTATGCAATTTATTTCTTCATTTGGATTTCCACTGTTTATTGGGAACAATTTTGTAATTACTTTTTTTAAATTCTGAAAAAAGCATGTCAGTTTATTAATATAAATCCTAACGTAATAGGAACCTACCACTTTAAAGATTAAAAGATTGAACAAGCATCGGGGAGCCAATCGGGTGTTTTGGTGGTTAAAAAAATTATTGCGTGGGACGAACGAGGTGAAGAATAAAAACTGAAGACACCTCAAAAGCTGTCAAGAGCTGTTGCATGTCTGCATACATTATGTATGCCTTTCTCGGTTCTTCATGCAGTTCGCTCTTTGTAAAATAACTTATGTTTTTACATATCATGATATTAAACAGCAAAACGATTTGCAAATGTCTTTTGACCTTCGTCAGAATAACAACGTCTCCTGCGCTTAGTCGCTTTTGCTTTTCGTTGTTTTCAAGGGGCTTCTATTGTTTTTCCAGGTAGCCAACTTAATGGGCCGTTTACACGGAATTAAAACTATCCACTAAAAACTTAATTTGATTATTCTCTGCAACACGAAATTTTAGTCGGGGTAAAAACAACATCCAAGAGGTTTTGCCAGTTAGGCAATTTACGAAAAAGTACTATAGGGACTTACTAATGTTGGTTTCAAAGGACCCTGTATAATATATACAGGGTGTTATGTAATTAATGTTATATATTAAAATGGGTTGTTACTTAGGGTCCATAAAGAAGCACCTGAAACTTTTTTTTCTAAATTCCAAAGTCTAAAAATAATTTATAATAACCTTTATCCAACCAAAAAGTACGCCACTGATCGACTAGGAACTTTAGGTTAATCTGGGGGATTTATTATGTTATGGTTGGTAACAGTGTTTCCAAAATCTCTCAAAAAAGTTGACAAACATTGTTTAAATTTAGCTTAATTACAAAAATGACAAAATTAACAATGCAAATTGTCAATTTGGCGTTTTTCTTAATTGTTGATTATGTCATTTTTGTACTGAAGGTAAATTCAAACAAAATCTGCCAACTTTTATGACAGAATCTAGTGCATTTCTTTTAAATTTTAGGTTATGTTTTCAAATTGTAAATATCTTAACTAAGGGTAGTGCTTTTGGATTTATTTACACAAATTAAATGTTTAAAGTTTAACCTGTGAACTGGTCCCAATTTCATCTGAGTAAACAGAGAAAAAAACTGATGAAAAAATTAATTTTGTGGTTATGGATTTCAAATTTCAAAGGTACTAAATTTTCTAATCATTGCTTAAGCTAATAGCTGGATCAGTAAATGAATACAGAAGGGTATTAGAGCTTTAAGGGCATAAAACTTTTGTATTTATTGAGTTTTTATTTATTTTTTGCAAGAAAAATTTTCAGTAACAATTTTTTACATCTGGCAACGCATAGCTACTTTGTTGGTTGGTATCTATGTACTCTATGTAACCAGTGGCGTATCACAAAAAATATAAAAAACTTCTAATGCATATTTTTTCTTTATCTTTGGAAAAATGTTTTTTTAAATATTTTTCCTTTATTCCTTATTTCAAAAGGTACCTATTCAGTATTTTAATATATAACATTAATTATATAACACCCTGTATACTTAATGCTTGAATATAAATTTCTGGACATCTATATCTACAATAAATTTGTAAAACCCAAACTATGCTGGTACTCATTAAGCCTGTCAAAAATAATAATCAAAATAATAATAATCATATGTAATTAAAATAAAATGTTGTCTGAGTTCTTCCTTATTTAGAAATTGTAGGCACATCTAGAAAGCCTGGCATAGGACAGGATTTAATGTGAAAATTAAGTTTGATTGAGCGCGTAAATTTAAATAATTAATTTGTATTATTTAGTTATAAATAGGAAACTTAAAGGGTTATTAGTTATGGCTTGTTGTTTGATAAAAACCTGAGAATTGCCATTTTAGTGGAGGTTGATATTAATTTTGAATGTCCAAATGTTTAACATCTCATATAATATTTTTGAATGCATATATGTATATGCATATATGTATATATACATATGACACGTTTTTTAATTGTTTTGTCCCCCTTCACAAAACTCCATAGTTTCGGCACGAAAAAACATTGAATTAAGGGAATTTGAGAATGTTAATCTGTCCCTTCCTTACTTAGTTCATACTTCATTCTCATTATCCTTTACATGAAATAAAACCGTATTAAGAATCCGAGCCGGTATTTTACACACAATTTACAAGAATTTCATGTAGGTATGCTTTCTCTCCGAAACCCTATTCATACGAAAATATGCCGTGGACCTTTTGTGCGAGGGAAAACAAAAAGGCCTTCGTGCACAATGCATACGCAATCGTCGTTAAAGTTTTAATTCAAACTGTTGACACCTATATTGTAGCCAATTACCTGATCATTCCTTCATCTCCTTTTCTCCCCCACTTATCCGCTGTATTTCTATTCTACACTTGTAAATTTTCACAAAACATGACAGATTATATAAAACATAATTAAAAGTGAATTTATAAAGACTAAAGTATACCCTGCGAAGTGAATACGTCAAGACATCATTTGTTTTAAGGGTCATCTATGGTGTAAAATTTACACCGTACACTGTAAATGTTGCCAACATTCGTTAAAAAAATTTCCTAATCACCATAAAGTTCTTTTTTTATCTGGATTGTGGCAACGTTGCAAATTTAGGGTTTAGGTTTGGTAAATACAGTTGTAAAGTTGGTCGCATTGATTAAAACAAACTAAGCTGGTTATAAATCTAATTGTGGTTATGTATAAATTATTGTAGGTTACATTGTGCAGTTGAGTTGACGAAATTAGAATCGTAGTCAAAAATGCAATTAATTTGGCTTTGGTGGTGCTTGGATAACTAAAATCATATAAAAAAGTAGTTAAATACAGGTTGCTTTACGGCCCAGAAGAGAAAGTATTCCTAGCGGATAAAAATCTTCGATTTGAAAAGAATTTATATAAAAGAAATTAAAATTTTTTGTGAACGTAAATGTTGTCCAATGGTGAATAATGTGAAAATAATGTGTGATGTAATATTTGTAAAACCAAATTCGTTACTTTTTTACTCCAAAAATGTCCATAAGGCGATGTACTTTTTCTGCCATTGGGGCATTAGGCATAACTTTATTGAAATGAAGTTTTGCCCTTAAAAGTTATTTTACTTTAGAATCTGATATTATTTTTGGCAAAATTATCTTTTTATATCGATATTGTATTATAATTGACAAGTAAATTATCAATAATAAATATTACTGTCAATTTGACAGTGTCAGAGTATTTAATTAAGGTCTTCAGCAGAATTACCATTCTTTAAATACTAAAAATACTAAATCAAACTGGCATAAGCTACCAACTTAAAAAAATGTAATGCTTGATTTAGGTTGCAAAACTGTTTTTTATGTACTTGGGGATTTGGCAAAAATAATAAACAAAAGGTTAATTAAAAAGTTTATTTTAAAAAGTTTAAACATTATAATGATTGATCTACAATTACATCATTGAATAATAGTTAAAAACAATAGTAGGTAATTAAATAGTAAAAATAAAATAAAGGTACAAAAAATATAATCTAAGAAAAAAAGAACACAGAAATGTTATGTATACGTCTAAAATTGTCATAAGTTTCATTAGTCTTAATAATTAAACCATTTTTGGCCATTGGTCTTGTATTACACCTCATCAAAGAACCATGATTAACGATTATTTTAAAATTCCGGCCTTCCGGTAAAAGGGGCACTGGATTTATAAAGATCCTTTTGTTTTTTTTGTCAAGCTTGTAATGCACAGTAAAAATCATTTCATCAAAAATTACGAAATTTTCGCCGCTTTGGTCCTTGTCCTTCAGCTTCAGCGTATAGAATTGGTGTTTCGGAATTGTTTTCATTATTATCGAGTGTGCCTGTTGCATGTGCACAGTGCATGCGAGTAAACTGTCAAGTTTGTGCTCGCATTTGCCAAAGGGGCATTCAAATTTTTTCGAATTATCTTGTATGGGTTTCGGTTGTGATGTCGGGTTGCTTTTCATTTCCCTCAACTTTTCAACGACAGCTTCGGCCAAATAATTCCTCACGGGGATCGGCAAAAAACATATCGAACAGTAGTTAAAGCCATCATCGCGGATAAAGATGTGTCCTGATAAGGGCGACTTGCACACTTTACAAGAAAGATCTGAAAATAAAAAAGTGAGTTTAATATTTAATAGTTTAATATTTTTTTTAAAGCTTTGACGTGCTGAATCCGAATATTAGTACTTTTTAGAATACATTCTGTAATTGGATTAAAATCTACAATTTTTTTTAAAAATTCGCCTACTTTGGCCATTTTTAATTGCCACAGAATCCGAATTGGTCAAAAATAAAGTAATAAATATTTATCCTTGTTATTTAAAATTATATAAATTTTATACAGTTACACGCAACTAAAAATACATATTTAGCAACGCTGGGCATAATGATAATAGATGGCGATACCTACTTAAGACAATTGTTACTAAAGAAGGCTGTTCTTTGGACGTTGCGCTTAAATGTCACTTGTCATTAAATATCATTTCTGCATTTTTATAACTGTTGTCCAAATTTTACATTTTAGTGTACCAACTTTAATATAGATAAAGTTCTTTTTTTATCTGGACTGCGGCAACGTTGCAAATTTAGGGTTTTGGTTGGTAAATACAGTTGTCAAGTTGGTCGCATTGATTAAAACAAACTAAGCTAGTTATAAATCTGGTTATGTATAAATTATTGTAGGTTACATTGTGCAGTTCTCAAGTTAAGTTGTCGAAATTCGTAGTTAAAAATGCAATTAATTTGGCTTTGGTGATGCTTGGATAAGTAAAATTATATAAAAAAGTTAGGTTGCTTTACGGCCCAGAAGAGAAAGTAAGAAATTAAAATTTTTTGTGAACGTAAATGTTGTCCAATGGTGAATATTGTGAAAATAATGTGTGATGTAATATTTATAAAACCAAATTTTTTACTTTTTTACTCCAAAAATGTCCATAAAGCGATGTACTTTTTCTTCCATTGTGGCATTTGGCATAATTTCATCAAAATGAAGTTTTGCTCTCAAAAGGGCTTTTACATTCGAATTCGTTGCCATTATTTTTGGCAATCTTTTTATTTATAATTGACAAGTAAATTATTATTTATTAATATTAATATTATTGTCAATTTGACAGTGTCATAGTATTTAATTAAATTCTTTAGAAGTACCAATTTTTAATTACTAAAAATGCCAAGTCATACTGGCATAAGCCACCAACCTAACAAAAAAAGTCCAGATAAAAAAAATGAACTGTATAATGTAAATTTATAATTTAAACAATGTATGACATTAAATAAATTTAAAACAAAATTTGTTTATCTTACAGCTTTAAATGTACCTACACAATTATTGAGTTATAAAAATCTGGTAGGTACTTATTTTTTTTTAAATCTTTTAGGTACCTATAGGTACCTATTATACATTAATTTTACCGTCCTGCATATCAAATTTTGTGCAAAAACGTTTGTTTTTATCCAGTTAACGAACTTTCAACTTGCTTATTATCAACTTTTTCGTATTTCAGGGACACCTGTATTCCTGAAACCACCCATATCAAAAAAATCTTACCTATACTTGCAGTATTTTGATCACATGCCAAAGCAAACGGCACTATTTTTTCTATAGCGGAATTTCTTATGGAACTTTTAAGGCCTCGACATATCGGACAATTGTCCATCTTCGAGCTACAGTTTTCACAAACACTATGGCCCCTTCTGCAAACAACTATTTTAATTGGCAACTCCAAACAAACAGGGCAATTTAAAATTGATTCTAAAGTTTCCATTTTCTTTTGTATCGAACTAATTCTTTCTGAAGGCGAGAGTGTAATTGATGTATTAATAACGACGATTTATTCGTGCACTGGTTTTTTGTTCGCTTTTTATTTCGTTTTTGCACATAAGGTTTTTTGTTTGTTTGTTTGTTCGTGAGGAGGGAAATCTACAAGCTAATTTTAAACCTCGCGCTTTTGCAATGCTACCAACAAAATAGTTACCAACATTAAGCCGAGAAACATAAAGTTCCTGTGAAGTTTACAAATAAAAGGTATAATTACAAGAAAACATTACTGTTATTGACAATAACTTATTGTTATTATCATGGAAGAAATTTGCAGAACGTGTCTACGTACTCACGATTATTTATTAGATTTGTATAAAAATCAGGAGTTAATTTTTAAGATTGAGTCGATTGTTTCTATAGAGGTAACTATCAAAGATATTATCTTTGGTAACTATAGTAAATAGAGTTATGTATAACTCAATTTCTTCATAATTTTAACTATAGAACGCTGTTTTTAGATATTACAGGACCCTTTCTTTCCCTCAAAAATATGCAAGAAATGTGTGATAAACATTAACAACTTCTTCAACTTTAAAGAAGTGTTAATAAACAGTTTTAAAGAGCTAAATGATCGATATGAAGCACATCAAAAAACAAAAGCTAGGGAAAAAGAGGTTAAAGAAGAAAACAAGACAAATATTATTAAAGCAGAGCCTATACTAATGCCAGATTACACTATAAGTAGTGAGGATTTTAAACAGGAAAATAGTGCAATTTTAGATCATATGGATTACAGTGCATCATCGCCTGAAAACACAGAAATTGAGCATAAAAAGAAGAAATCATTTGACTGTAACGAGTGTCAAAGAACGTTTATATCAAAATACAAATATCAGACTCACATAAGGGGACATACAAGTAAAGGGGTTTGTAATATATGTGGTATGGTTGTAAGAAGTGATAATTTACGGCGACATATTCAACTACATTCTGAAGAACCAATAGAATGTGATATATGCTCAAAAATGTTTAAAAATTCCGAATCGTTAAGAAGTCATAAAAGAATACATTTAGGGATTATTTTTACATGCGAGATTTGTGGAAAGTGTTTTAAGGTTAAAACTGAGTATTCAAGACATGTAAAAACTCACACTGGTAGGTTCTAGAGGATTTTGTGATGTAAAAATAAAAATGATAATTTTTAGATCCCGAAATTGGCAAAGCAATGTGCTCGATTTGCGGGAAAAAAGTAAAGGATATGAGAAAACATAAGTTAAGTCATACTGGCGAACGTCCATACAAATGTGAAGTTTGTACAAAAGGATTTACAAGTCCTTACGCCCTAAAAATCCACCTAAGGCAACACACGAACGAAAAACCTTTTATATGCGAGTATTGCCCAATGGCGTTTCCACAAAAAGTTTCTTTAGTAACGCATATAAAATCAAAACACACAAAACTCGTTGAATAGTTTTATTTTAGTTGTTTTTTAACAAAATACTGTATTTATTAATGAAGTTTTTAAAAACTATAATTTATAAGTTTAAATTAACAATGTTTATGTTACGGTAATGCTTTAAATATATATTATACTTTTATAAATACAGATTTTTATTTAAGACAGTTTCAAATATCCCGCTGGATTTCACCACGTTGGCTAACCTGCAGATCAGAAATTCGAAATTTAACCTCAAAATTCAACTGAACTGTCAGATGTTTGTTTATAAAAAGAAATCACTCTCTACTTTTATCCAATTAATAAGCAGTTAAAAACAAATTTAAAGACGCTTTTTTTTAATGCGACAATGGGAGATATTTGCAGAACGTGTCTACGTACTCAGGATTATTTATTAGATTTGTATGAAAATCGGGAGTTAATATTTAAGATCGAGTCAATTGTTTCTATTGAGGTAATTTTATGGGGTGTGATTTCCACCTAATTTGAAGTAACAGAATATTTTTAGATACAAGAGGAGCCTTTCTTTCCCTCAAAAATATGTTATGAATGTGTGGGAAACATTACAAACTCCTTTAACTTCAATAAAGTTTTAATAAACAGCTTTAATGAGCTAAACAAACGGTATGAAATACATCAAAAAACAAAAGCAGGAGAAGAAGAATGTAACGAAAATATTAAAGTTGAGCCTGTTGATTTTAAACAGGAAAATGCAATTTTAGATCATACAGATATTATTAAAGATGAGGCTGATAACACAGAAATTGAGCATAAAGAGATAAAATCAACTGAACCTATAAAGTGTAATGTATGCTTAAAAACGTTTAAAAAATTAGAATCATTAAGATATCATAGACAAAGGCATTCAGGGAAGATTTTTACTTGCGAGTTATGTGGGCAGTGTTTTAATGTTAAAAGATCATATATAAAACATGTTAAAACCCATGCTGGTAAGTTTTTGCAATATTTTAATATCTTTTATCAATCAAAATTTTTAGAAAAACTTAAAATAATAAAAATACAAAAGTTAAGTCGCTTTGAAGAGCCTATAGAATGTGATATATGCTCGAAAATGTTTAAAAGTTCGAAATCTTTAGAAAACCATAAACTAATACATATGGGGATTATTTTTACATGTGAAATGTGTGGAAAGTGTTTTAAGGTTGAAACTGAGTATTCAGAACATCTAAAAACTCATACTGGTAGGTTTAAATAAAACTGTAACTTATACATGTTCAATTATATTTTTTAGGCCCTGAAATTGGTAAAGCAACATGCTCAGTTTGCAGAAAAGTAAAAGAAATCGATATAAGTAAAATATATCGATATAATTTAAGTCACACAGGCACACATCCTTACAAATGTAAAGTTTGTATGAAAGGATTTACAAGTCCCCCCGCCCTAAAAATTAACATACGGCAGCGTTTCTCAAAGTTTTTTGATGGCGGAGACCCTAAAAATGATGTCATTTAGTTAAAAAAAAATATGGGTTAAAATAATAAGCCAAAATATATTCTAACGTTTATGTTATATTAATGTTTTAAATATATACCTATTTTACTTTTAAAAATACCTAAACATTTTCATTTAAAACCTCAATAAGAGTTTAAAGCTTCCCGGTTAATTTCATCAGGTTGGTTAACTTGCACGTCAACGAATTCTAACCTCAAAATCAACTCGAATGTCAGATTTTTGTTTATATTTGTAGTTGTTTATAAAACCCCCATTCTCGAAATGAATAGGGAGGTTGAAAAAGAAAATAAGGCAAATATCATCAAGATTGAGCCCATACTACAGCCTAATTATATCATAAGTAGTGAGGATCCTATAGATAACAGTATTAATGGGTTAAACGAACAGTACCAAATAAAAGCTGAGGAAAAAGGGGTGAAAGAAGAAAGTAAGGCAAATATTAAAGTTGAGCCTGATGACACTCTAAGCAGTGAGAATTTTAAAAACGAAAATACTGCAATTTTAGATGCAGGTGTTATAAAAGTTGAGCCTGATGACTTTTTAAGCGATGGGGATCTTAAACAGGAAAATGATGCTCTTTTAGATGATATAGATTACAGTTTTAATGAGAGGAAAACGGTCAAAGTTGAGCCAATACTAATGCCTGATTACACTGCTTATAAAAAGAAAAAATTATTTGACTGTAATGAGTGTCAAAAAACGTTTACATCGAAACACAAATATCAGACTCACATAAGGGAACATACAAGTAAAGGGGCTTGTAATATATGTGGCATGGTTTTAAGAAGTGATAATTTAAAACGACACATTCGATTACACTCAGAAGAACCTATAGAATGCAATATATGCTCAAAAATACTTAAAAACTCAGAATCATTAAGAATTCATAAACGAATACATTTAGGGATTAAATTTAAATGTGATATTTGTGGGAAGTGTTTTAAGGTTAAAACTGAGCATTCGAGACATGTTAAAACTCACACTGGTAGGTTTAAAAAAAAAATTAATCTAAGATTTATAATAATAATTTATAGATCCTGAAATCCTGAAATACAAATGTAAAGTTTCACGCGCCCTAAAAATAAACATTAGGGAGCGTTTCTCAAACTTTTTTGATGCCGGGGACCCCAAAAAGTCGGAACGACTATAAAAAAATTGGAAGTAGGTAGGGTATAATACAATAATTGTACTAAACATATGATTTTTAAGTTAAAATGAACAATGGTTATGCAAAAGTAATGTTTTAAATATATAATTTACTTTTACAATACCGATTTTTATTTACAACGGCAAGATTTCCAAACTTTACAAAAAGTTTCAAATTTACCGCTTAATTTAATCACGTTGGCTAACCTGCACATAAATGAATTTTAACCACAAATGTCAGATTTCGATTGTAAAACAAAGTTTTATAATTGAAACAAAATAAACAATGTGGAAGTTTTAGTAATGTTTTAAATACTGATTTTCATCAAGATTTCTAAATATTCGCAAAGTTTCAAATTTCCCGCTTAGATCTATCACGTTGGCTAACCTGCACATCAACGAATTCTAACCTCAAAACTAAGCACAACTGTCAGATATTTGTGTGTAAGACAAATCGAACATAAAAATGAGCAGAAAAGAAGCGCTTTCCTCGTTCATCCAGCAAATTCACGCCAGACCGGTCGTGGTAAAATTAAACAGTGGCGTGGATTACAGAGGAGTTCTGGCTTGTTTGGATGGATACATGAACATAGCCCTCGAACAGACTGAAGAGTACGTGAATGGACAGTTAAAAAACAAATTTGGGGATGCTTTTATTCGTGGAAACAACGTTCTCTACATAAGCACACAGAAGAGAAGATATTAGCTATAATTTTGTGATGGATTTTGTAATAAAATGATGAAAATAAGATGATGTTTTTTTGTATGTATAAGAGGTTGATAAAGACTAAAAACTCGAAATTAATACATTTATTTTAGCATAAAATTTAATAAAAACTAAAACTGCAGGTTTTTCAAATATAAAATTAGTAGTATTTACAATAAAATAATCACAAATTGTTAATGTTCCGCCAACTAACACTAGTAATAAAAATAATAAATATAATTAGGATTTATATTATTATTATTAAATAGGCTTATATAATAAGGTGGTCACATACTTTTTGCGGTATCTATGGGTGGCACTTAAAACCATAACTCCATCTTTAATGGAGAGTGCATATAGATGGTTTAACATTACGTGGTTTGGTTCTGGCAATAGAGTGGGCTCACACTAAAAAATGTTTGCATTAAATATTAGGTTGATTCATTTCCGCAAAGTTTTTGTTTTCTTCGGTGCTCAAGCAAAATATTAATCTGCATATAGAAAAAAAATTCTCAACAAGTTTGAGCTCTTAATATAAATTTTAAGTACTTACTATTTAAATTTAAAGTTTTACCGTTTAAAATGCATGTAAAAAATATATATTTTTTTTCAAATTTCACCTTTGACAATATTGCAAATCGGTTTAATACACCTTATGGGGAATTTCACGCTCTTTAAAATTGCTTTTGAGTTTTTTTTTGTAAACCGCAAAAAGTAGGGAGAAATTATGAGTGAGAAATCATAATAATTTTAAAAAAGTTCTTAGTGTAGGGAAATATAATGATAATAAATAGAAAAAATCAATCTAAATAACATTATGGGTTGGTATTTATCAATTTCTGAAGTTTTCAGTTATAAAAATGGCAGTAAATTCATTAAATATTGGTTGGATAACTTTTTTTTATGAATCAGCCCTTTTTTCTCACTACTTTTGGCGATTTGATCGAAAAAATAAAAAAAACGATTTTTTTCAAAAACTGTCCTTTGACTTCTACTGGTGAACCAATGCGAGTTACAAAAAAAAACTCAAAAGCAATTTTAAAGAGCGTGAAAGTCCCCATAAGGTGTATTAAACTGATTTGCAATATTTTCAAAGGTGGGTAAGCATTAGAAATTTTAAAAAAATATATATATTTTTTACATGCATTTTAACGGTAAAACTTTAAATTTAAATAAAAAACACAAACTTTGCGGAAATGAATCACTCTATTAAATATACTAAAATCATTGAGTAAAGTTTACTCAATGCTAAAATCGTTCAATAATTCTTCAATTTGTCCCTAGTTAAAAAACACTTACAGATAGAGGCGTATCTTTGTTGAGGATGACTTGAAGCAAGTGGGGCGGTAAAATGGGGGGCCCGGAGACTTTCTCCCAAGGTTTATTGTTGGGAGGGACTTCCTGGCCGAACTCCTTCTGCGCATCGCTGGTGGCATTCTCACTGTCCTTATCCAGCGCCTGGAAAACCTCGAAGTCCGATTTTTTCACGGAAATCATGTTGTTCTTCAGGCCGGGCGTGTCCTCGACGGTCTTGTTGCCCGGGTCGTTTTTCCATTCGCCGTCGACGAAATACTTGTACTGGTGCTCGCCCTCGGGCAAGTCGATGATCGTCACGAAATCGCCGTGACTTTTCACCATCGGTAACGTCTCCCAATTCGAAAAGGTGCCGCTTATCATTACGTCTTTCCCGCCGCCCTCCCATCGAAATACTGTCGGAGTCTTGTCTGAAATCGAACTTTTCGTCGTTGTCCCCTCTGAAACTACACGGAAAATAGCTAAAAGGTCTAAACAGGGTGTCACAAATATGGCGCAGTCGACACGCGATACAGGTCATTTTAAGTTACAAAAAAACACTTTCAAAGCTGTGTAAATTATAGGATAATATATTCTGATGTCCCTGGTGGTTGTAACAAACCAAATAAAAGACACAATGTACAAAATAAAGCAATGTGTTTAATATAAAGAACAGAATTATACTTTCTTTATACACCAGCTTTTTTAAAATAAACTGTTTTAAAAATGTCAATTTATTCTAGATATGACTGTCTTAAAGTATATCGGAAATATGGTTTGGGGTGACAAAAAAAATTATTGTGAAAGTTTGAGTCCATAATATTAATATTAAGAGGTCTATCATCGCAATTTTAATTTTTTTTTCCTCAGCAAGTTTTTGTCTCAGAACTCCCAAACCATTGAATTTAACAAAATTGACTCAAAAAATTTTTTTAAGAAAATTAAATGCTCTACAAAAAAGGTTGAAGTGAAATTTTCCGTCAGATGAGCCGTTTCCTTAAAATCATGCCTTAAAAATTGGTAGTTTTACATTTTGATTTTTTAAATTGAAATTTTGTAATTTATGTAAAAATCAGTACCCATAAAAAACCGATAAATATTCGTAAGTAATATCATAAGGGCATTTAATTTTTCCGAAAAGAATCGAAAAAACACGTTGATAAGTAATATTTTAACAAAATGCATGAGTGCTGGTGGCAACAAAAATCCGAGTCGAAGAGGAGGATTTTTGCACCTGCACGAATGCATTTTATTAAAAATTGTGTTTTTTCGATTTTTTTCACAGGAAAAATTTGATCCCGAATGGTATTTGACAAGACTATTTCATGAGTAAGAGTTAACAATTAAAATATAAATTGCAATTTTTGGTGACAACAGCTGTCAAGTTTTGCCGCGAGTAAACTCGAAAAAACTGCTGACAGGTGCTGTCACACAGTTTTTTCACCTAGAAACCATTTGTAATTCAAAATTGCGCGTTTGTGATTGGTGGAAATTAAGACGAGGGAAATAGTCTTATGTAAAATCAAATATTTTACAAAAAAAGCATTTTTGGCTCAATTCACTCAATTAAAAGTTATTCAAGGTTAAAATTTCGTTTTGACTTCATATTTAACCTTGAATAACTTTTGATGGAGTGAATTTAGCCAAAAATGATAAAAGACTTTTTTTGTAGAGCATTTGATTTCCCATAAGAATATTTATCGGTTTTTTTCCGGATACTGATTTTTACTTGAATTACAAAATTCCAAAGTTAAAAGATCAAATTGTAAAACTATACCAATTTTTAAGGCATGATAGTAAGAAAACGGTTCATCTAACGGGAAATTCCAATCAAACCTTTTTTGTAGAGCATTCAATTTTCTTCAAAAAATATTCCAAAGTCAATTTTGTTAAACTCAATGGTTTGGGAGTTCTGAGACAAAAACTCGCTCAGGAAAAAAAATTTAAAATTTCGATGATTGACCTCTTAATATTAATATTATGGACTCAAACTTTTACCATATTTTTTTTTTGTCACTCCAAACAATATTTTTGATATACTTTACAAAAAAAATAGTCGATTTTTGGCCCAGTCTAATAGATATAACTGTCTTAAAGAATGTCAGTTTAAGCTAGATATGACTGTCTTAAAAATGTCAAAATGTCCTCTAGTAGGGGTTGTAACAAACCAAATAAAAGACACAATGTACAAAATAAAGCAATGTGTTTAATATAAAGAACAGTATACTTTTTTTTATACATCAGCTTTTTTTTAATCCAGTTATACTAATAAACTGTTTTAAGAATCTCAATTTAAGCTAGATATGTCTGTCTTAAAAATGTCAACTTAAGCTAGATATAACTGTCTTAAAGAATGTCAAAATGTCCCCTAGTAGGGGTTGTAACAAACCAAATAAGACACAATATACAAAATAAAGCAATGTGTTTAATATAAAGAACAGAAGTATACTTTCTTTATACATCAGCTTTTTTTAAACCTTTTTATACAAATAAACTGTTTTAAAAATGTCAATGTAAGCTAGATATGACTGTCTTAAAAATGTCAACTTAAGGTAGATATAACTGTCTTAAAAATGTCAAAATATGTATAACTGTCTTAATCTAGATTACTAGTGGGCAGTGGCGGCTGGTGGATTTTAAGTATACCAATATCTCAGTTATTAGACATGGGACCCACACCAAATTTATAATAGTTTATATTGACATTAAATAAACAAGTTCGGCGCAAACAGAATTTAAATTGAAGTTTGCGAAAAAAAGTTAGTTTTTCCTGTCGCCTACCCTGCCTCCAGGCCCCCCTATTTGAGATAATTCAAATTAAAGTGGTGCAATTTATTATCTACTATAATTTATCGACAAATTTAAAATTTTATTCAAAAAATCCAAATATTACAGATTTTATTCGATTTTAAATTTTTATTATTTATTTTATTAAAATAAAAAAATATTTAAAATGGTATAAAAACTGTAATATTTGGATTTTTTAAATAAAATTTTAAATTTGTCGATAAATTATAGTAGATAATAAATTGCACCACTTTAATTTGAATTATCTCAAATAGGGGGGCCTGGAGGCAGGGTAGGCGACAGGAAAAACTAACTTTTTTTCGCAAACTTCAATTTAAATTCTGTTTGCGCCGAACTTGTTAATTTAATGTCAATATAAACTATTATAAATTTGGTGTGGGTCCCATGTCTAATAACTGAGATATTGGTATACTTAAAATCCACCAGCCGCCACTGCTAGTGGGCGAAATAGCTAGTTTAATTTGGAAAAAAGTGAGGTTAAAACTAATTAACAGCTGTCAGATAAAATATCAAATAAAATTGGCTTTAAATTCCTAGTGGTATTGAATAAAATATTGTGTGTGACAGTGTGAATATTGGTCAAAAAGGGAGATTCCACTCGAGTGTTACCTCACCTGCTACGCTCGTGCGGCAAACTTCACGCTCGAGTAATTTTCTCTTTTTCCCACTAGTCGCACAATATACTATTTATAATATTACTTAATGTGCTTTTTAAACTTAAAATCACCTGTACTTTAAACTGTAGACAAAAACTATAAAATACATAAATATTAGAAAAAATCTTTTGGACAGGGAGTCTTAATTTTATATTTTCTTAACAAAGGGGTATGGGGGTGTACTCAACAAAATTGCTTACGTAATACTTGAATACTCTCGAACTTAAACCTCAATGCGGATGGCTCTTTTATTCCTTTAAAAGTAACAAAGTAAATAAGAAACATTCACAATAAAATACCGTTTAATTTAACAAAAGTAAAATTAACGTTTATTATGATTTTAAAACATTAATATTAGTCCCCAGGCAAGGTAAACCCCTTAAATAACTTAAAATAATTTTTGCTCAAATGGCAATTTTCAGGGTTAAAAATAAGAATAACAGTCCATCAAATCTTACCAGTGTTTGCTCTGGGCCTCCTGGTCTCGACATTGTTCACAGGTTTCGTGAAATAGGGCTCCTCGTCCTCTTGGGAACCTTGAAATTGAATTTTGTCAGGTTTTTTGTCAAATGTGAACGCCTGTCCTTCCTTTGAAGGCGAAGACGGCACCGTTTCCCCCAATTTTTGCCGTTCCCTTTGCCCGCTACCACTCCCTGCGTTACCCATTGCTTTATTCCTTAATTTAACATTATATTTAAATGCGTATTGAATATTTGCATTGCTGACAATTTTGACATTTACATTATTTTGTTATGCTAACGTTGGCAATGCCGTGAAATAACCTATATATAATATTACACAATAGATGGCGCTCATTTAAATATTAAAATTTCTACTTGTTGAAAAATAATAGCTCTGAATATAATAATATGCAAATAAAAGGTAATATTAACCAAATTATAATTGTAAATATATTCTTTTTTTACCTTAAAATGCATTTTTATGAAAATCAACCTTGTCATTTATTTTTGTGTTGGCTAAAGTGTTGTTGTGTCTAAAGTTTTAGTTCGCAATCCTATTTTGTTTGTAATTACGTAACCTAATTGCAATTTACCGTATATTTTGGAAATATTTACGGAATGGTAAAACACAATATATATAATAATCAATTGTAATTTCTTTTTTGTTTTTTTTTTGTTAAAAAATTAAAAATGGCGCGTGCGTTGAGACACTGACACACAAATGCCGATAAGCGTCGTGATAGCGTCACAGAGAGTTGCTACGTGTAATTTTTATTTGATCAATAAGTCGTAATAGAAACGAGCAGGAAATAGTCAGTTTGCGGTTTAATTACCGTGTGAATCGTTTTTCAGCCTGTGAGACAGTACAAAGGTGAAAAAACGCCGATTATTCGGCTAACGCGTGCTTATAGCAAAACAATTGTGCGTTGTTTACGCAAATAGCAATTTTGTTTGCTATAGCGCAATTACGTGGATTGTAAACGTTGTAAATGTTGCAGATAATGAGGGACAACGACCTGGACAAATCTCCGTCGCCGGGAGAGGAGAAAAAGAGCCGCAGCAGGAGTCTGAGCAACTCCAGCAACGGCAGCAACTTGAGCAAAAAAAGCGACAGGAGCCGGAGCAGGAGCTCTTCGAAGTCGCGGTCGAGGTCGCGATCGAGAAGCAGCGAAATCGACGGCTTCAGGCTCCACATCGCCGATATTGGCGACGAAGTAAGAAAAAGCGACCTGGAAAAGGTGTTCTCGCCTTTCGGGGAGCTCAAGGAAGTCTGGATGACGAACAGCACCCCGTGCTTCGGTTTCGCCGTTTACAAGGAGAAAAAAAGCGCCAGCGCCGCCCTCAAAGCCACCGATGGAGTGTAAGCACCAAAATCAATACTTATTCGTTTTATTGCAGCATATTTATCACCATGGCAATGTCAACTAAACTAACACCCTTAAATATTTGATATTGCCCATAAAAGATGAATTGAAGGGTCTTTTTTTTAGGGAAGTGGCTGGTTGTAGAATACGTGTTACTCACGCCAGGCCACGAACCCGTGGCTCTGGGAGAAGATTCTACAACTCCAATATGAGATGTTATCAATGTGGATATTCCGGACATTTCTATAGGGACTGTCCGGAATTGAATGGAGGTGGAGGCGATAAACGGGACAGAGGGTAAAGTACTTTAAATTTGCTTATTTAATTGCTTAGTTTTGACGTTAAATACATTTTAATAATAATAAAAACATACCTTCGGATAACAGCCTAGCAAATACCCTCCTTTTTAGTTTGTCCATGCTCATAAATTCACTTTAATTTATATTTATGAAATAAGAGTTTAAAACAATGAGGCTTTATCAGGAACACAATTATTGTAATTATTGATAAGAAGACAGTAAATAAGTTTTGAAGTACTTAATTAAAAATATTTGTTGGTGCATCATAACTTGAGAACAAATATTTGGACTTTGTTTGAGTTTCTTATTTAACTTCAACAATTCCACTTATTGTATAAACAAAATAATTATCTGTTATGTGCTTTTTGTTATTGTTAAAATGCTATTTAATTTATTTATAAAAAAGACCTTGGGATATTTTGCTTTTTTAAAATTATTACTTAGATATATTTATTTTTATAAAATTTTATATCTTGGCAAATCAAAATTCCTCAAATTGTGCTTGCATGAAATTTTGACACTCAAGGCACAAATTTAGCTAGGAGTTAATTTTAGTTGAATATTAAAGAATTTACGCAATTTTAATGCAATATTGGTAAATTATTTAATTTCTCTGAAATGCCTGTGCAAAATAATAAAGTTTTTTCGATTTTATTAAATAACTTTGCTAAAAACAAACGTTTTTGCACAAAATTTGGTATTGGGGGGTTTTTCAGGCTGGGAAAAATAAATTCCTTAAAAAAATTAATGTCTGCAACACTGCATCTTTTTTGCGCCTTAGTGTAATCACATTTTAATAAAAATATTAATTTTTAAGCCTAAAATCCTGAAAAAACCCAAAAATCATTTTATGCTAAGTTATTTAATAAAATTGAAAATTAACTTTCAACTTTGTTAAATTTAGTTAAATATTATTTTGGTGTCAAGAATATGTGGTATCATTTTGTACAGGCATTTCAGGGACACCTTGTATATGTACAATTATAAATCATAATTACGCTTTAACACGCAATTTTGTATTTATTTTTTATTTTTTCTTTAAATTTGAGACATGAAAACATATAGGGTATTTTTATATACACTGCGCGTTAAAATTAACGCATAATAAGTAAAAAAAACTCTAAAACGACTTTACCAATCTTTATGAAATTTTGTCTCTCTCAGTTTACGCGTTTATTTAATAATAAAAAACGTTAAAAAATAACTTTTAAGGAATTTTAATAAAAAATATTCTCTAAAAGACCGTATTTTTGTTAGTATACCCTGAAAATTTTGTACAAATCATACGAACAGTAACGAAGATTAATATTTTGCTGAAAAGTGGTCATTTTTGACCACTGTATTTTTTTTACTGTTTGTTTGATTTGTACAAAATTTTCAGGGTATACTAACAAAAATACGGCCTTTCACAGCATATTTTTTATTTACTTCAAAAAAATTTCCCTATAAATTTTTTTTATTATTAAATAAAAGGGCTTTAAGGATATTTTCTCGAAAAAACCTTAAACACGTAATTTGAGATATAATTTTATAAAGGCATTTTAGAGTTGGATTTTTTTTTTACTTGTTATGCGTTAATTTTGACGCGCAGTGTAGTTAATTGGTATATTTGAATATTATGGTTCTATATTGTATTTTTTATTTAAATCAGTTTAGCACATTATAATTATTGAAACATCTTTATAGCACCATAAGAAGGGAACAATTGTGGTGTGAATTTTTTTAAGACCAGCAATGTCGGTTTTATCAAAGAAAAGTTGCATATTTACAAGCTTATTAAAATGAAATTAAAAAATTGAAAAAAAAACAGTGCTTCCCAAAATGTCTCCTTTTGTCTGTGTCCCCAACTTTTTCTGCAATTTAACATTGGCAAATTTATGTAATTATTGCATTACATTTTATTACATTTTCTGCAAGCTTAATATTTCTAAATTTACCATTTTTTCAACACAAAAGTAAAATCTTCAATACTTTTTGTTTCAATTAAACTCCAAAATTTTATGTATCTTCTTTTTAGTCCTATAAAAGAGTGGCAGATTCTTTATGTTTTGAAAGTTTTGTTAAATTTTAATCGTAAATTTATATACTAAAAAATATAATTTTACAATAAAAATTATTAAAACTCGTTATTTTTTGACCCTGAATGGCTGAAATTTAAAAATAAAATAAAAATGCCCATAACTTTGTTATTCACAAGTATTTTGATAAAAAGTAAGTAACACATCTTGAAACTATATTTTGAGCTACTATCATCATCTTTTGTTTTTATAATGGCCGCCAAAACTTATGTAGTAGGTTTGATGCATTTTTTTATCTATTTTTTTCAAAATTTACAGGAATATCGAAGTTATAACAATTTTTTTTAATTAGGTACGCAACTTTTTTCTGATTTAAACGACCCTGTAGCTCTTAAAATAGAAAAGATACACTGTAGAAACAGTTCTGAAAAAGTGCTCATATTGAACTCTGACACAATTTTTATGTTATGACCAAATTTTACTTGTTTTGGCCAATTTGCTTTGTTTAATATAAATTTAAATAATAAAAAATACATAATAGACCTTAAATAGAGTACAGAGCTGGGAGGATCTTGAAAAAAAAGATACTTAAAGTATCTAAGATACTTTATCAGATACTTTTTATATTTGACAGAAAGTATCTTTAACTTAGTTACTTTGGTATCTTGTAACTTGTATCTATAAAAAGTATCTAAGTTACTCGGTAAAGTAACTAAGATACATTCAAGTAACTTAGATACTTTAAAGTAACTAAGATACTTTTCAGTGTAACTATTACCTAACCTAAAACTTGTTGAATTTTCATAATTTTATAGTTTTTATTCATATTTAAAAGTGACTTAGTTACTCAAAAGTATCTTAGTTACTTAAAAGTATCTTAGTTACTCAAAAGTATCTTAGAGACTTTCATATAGATAGATAGATACATTCGGATAGTATCTTAGATACTTTCTTAAGTATCTTGTAACTAAGATACTTTCAAGTCTATCTAGTCTAGTAACTAAATTATTTTGTTTAAAGTATCTTAAAAAGTAACTAGATACTTTTCAGAAGTAAATTTCCCAGCTCTGATAAAGTAAATGATAACTTGTAAGCTCCAGGGTAAGTAGCTGAGTGATTTTGAAAGGAAATTAATGAATATTGAAAATAATATAATGTATGTTTCATAACAAAAAGCACCAGAACTATTCGTTTGTTTTACCTAATTGTTGTTTTGTGATTTGTCAGGCACATGGTGTTAAATTTAATGGTTTGGTTAAACTATATTTATGGATATGTTTGATGGTTATTTGGTTGGTAATCCAAAAAAATTGGGCTCTCGCAAAAATCTCAATGATTGGTTTGGTGAATTTTGGCGTGGAATGTAGTTCTCTCTCTCTAAAAAAAAGTTACAAAATTCACGGCATAATCGGTTGAGTCTGTGGTCTTGATTGGTGAATATTTTTAGCTACGATTCGCACTACGACCGCTCGCGAAGACACGGTGGCGGTGGCGGTAGGGACCGCGGTCGCGATTACGGCGGCAGGGACTACGGCCGTGATTACGGCAGGGACTACGATAGGGACTACGACAGGAGGTCGCACCGCTCCTCGAAACGTTACGACGATTACAGGAGCTCGAGGCGTAGCAGTGGCGGCGGCGGCGGCGGCGGTGGCGGTAGAAGGCACCGCTACTAAACGAGTAAAAAAAAATCACGCAGATCGGGTCGTTTCGCGTGAAATCGTCGAATCGGCAGTCAGTTGACGTTGGATTTTTCTCAAACTTTGCGGCGGTTTCTTTGGGGTCTCAATATCCGCCAGGATTTAATTTCGCCTGCGCCGGTTTGTCTTTTAACTCTAAAATGCCATTTATAGTTATGTAAAAACGTAAAGCATACAAATTTTGCGCCACGCAAAGTTTGAGCAAAATCTAAAACAGTGCAGCAACAATTTTTCTTTTTTTTGACGATCTCATAGGACGACTCGACCGAGTTAATCAGGTGAAATTTTATAAGCAGTATTCAATTTTAATCACTCTTACAACCGCCGGAAAGCTTTTAAAAATCACGTTCAAAATGTTAGGAAATTATCGTGTTGGTGTTTTTTTATATGCAAAGAAATTGTACAAAATGGCCTACACACACGAAAGTCTTTCCAGTGGTGTGGATTTTAAAACGATTTTCATCTGGTTAAAAAAACACACTAGTAGTATGCCTACATCAGTTTATTAACAAACATTAGACTAACAAATCCTTTTGTTTTCTTAACATTTAATTCTACCTCAGGCAAATGCTGTTAAAAACGTTTTTCCATTATTCTCGTGCATTTTAACGACATTTGCCACCAAAAATCGAATTAAGTTTTAAGAAGTTGAAGATAGATGGGCACTGCTAAATATATAGATTTGTTATGTTTATTTTAAATGTTTTTTTGGTATATTAGCTCAGGCAATACATGGACGTATATATGTTATACTATATATTATATGGCATATCTTATTTTTAGTTAAAGTTAATGTGTGTGACTTCGATTTTTTCACGTAAACCAAATAAAAATTTGCAGTACTGTTAAGGAATTTGTGTTTTATTTTACCTTTTGCTTTTTTGATTATTTGATCCAGCGAAATAATTAATTTTATGGTTATGGAAGCCAGAGGTGGGATACTATCTATATATCGATAGTTTTTTTAAAATTATATAAATACTTAATATTTTGGTTACGAAAGCACCGCTACTAGACGAGAGTAAAAAAAAACATGCAGATCGAGTCTTATTCCGCGTGAAATCGTCGAATCGGCAGTCAGTTGACGTTGGATTTTTCTCAAACTTTGCGGCGGTTTCTTTGGGGTCTCAATATCCGCCGGGATTTAATTTCGCCTGCGCCGGTTTGTCTTTTAACTCTAAAATGCCATTTATAGTTATAGAAAAACGCAAAGCATACAAATTTTGCGCCTCGCAAAGTTGAGCAAAATCTAAAACAGTGCAGCAACAATTTTTCTTTTTTCGACGATCTCATAGGACGACTCGACCGAGTTAATCAGGTGAAATTTTAAGCAGTATTCAATTTTAATCACTCTTACAACCGCCGGAAAGCTTTTAAAAAATCACGTTCAAAATGTTAGGAAATTATCGTGTTGGTGTTTTTTTTTATATGTAAAGAAATTGTACAAAATGGCCTACACACACGAAAGTCTTTCCAGTGGTGTGGATTTTAAAACGATTTTCATCTGGTTAAAAAAACACACTAGTAGTATGCCTACATCAGTTTATTAACAAACATTAGACTAACAAATCCTTTTGTTTTCTTAACATTTAATTCTACCTCAGGCAAATGCTGTTAAAAACGTTTTTCCATTATTCTCGTGCATTTTAACGACATTTGCCACCAAAAATCGAATTAAGTTTTAAGAAGTTGAAGATAGATGGGCACTGCTAAATATATAGATTTGTTATGTTTATTTTAAATGTTTTTTTGGTATATTAGCTCAGGCAATACATGGACGTATATATGTTATACTATATATTATATGGCATATCTTATTTTTAGTTAAAGTTAATGTGTGTGACTTCGATTTTTTCACGTAAACCAAATAAAAATTTGCAGTACTGTTAAGGAATTTGTGTTTTATTTTACCTTTTGCTTTTTTGATTATTTGATCCAGCGAAATAATTAATTTTATGGTTATGGAAGCCAGAGGTGGGATACTATCTATATATCGATAGTTTTTTTAAAATTATATAAATACTTAATATTTTGGTTACGAAAGCACCGCTACTAGACGAGAGTAAAAAAAAACATGCAGATCGAGTCTTATTCCGCGTGAAATCGTCGAATCGGCAGTCAGTTGACGTTGGATTTTTCTCAAACTTTGCGGCGGTTTCTTTGGGGTCTCAATATCCGCCGGGATTTAATTTCGCCTGCGCCGGTTTGTCTTTTAACTCTAAAATGCCATTTATAGTTATAGAAAAACGCAAAGCATACAAATTTTGCGCCTCGCAAAGTTGAGCAAAATCTAAAACAGTGCAGCAACAATTTTTCTTTTTTCGACGATCTCATAGGACGACTCGACCGAGTTAATCAGGTGAAATTTTAAGCAGTATTCAATTTTAATCACTCTTACAACCGCCGGAAAGCTTTTAAAAAATCACGTTCAAAATGTTAGGAAATTATCGTGTTGGTGTTTTTTTTTATATGTAAAGAAATTGTACAAAATGGCCTACACACGAAAGTCTTTCCAGTGGTGTGGATTTTAAAACGATTTTCATCTGGTTAAAAAAACACACTAGTAGTATGCCTACATCAGTTTATTAACAAACATTAGACTAACAAATCCTTTTGTTTTCTTAACATTTAATTCTACCTCAGGCAAATGCTGTTAAAAACGTTTTTCCATTATTCTCGTGCTTTTTAACGACATTTGCCACCTAAAATCGAATTAAGTTTTAAGAAGTTGAAGATAGATGGGCACTGCTAAATATATAGATTTGTTATGTTTATTTTAAATGTTTTTTTGGTATATTAGCTCAGGCAATACATGGACGTATATATGTTATACTATATATTATATGGCATATCTTATTTTTAGTTAAAGTTAATGTGTGTGACTTTGATTTTTTCACGTGAACCAAATAAAAATTTGCAGTACTGTTAAGGAATTTGTGTTTTATTTTACCTTTTGCTTTTTTGATTATTTGATCCAGCGAAATAATTAATTTTATGGTAACGGATGCAAAAAATTTAAATAACATAAGATCGAAACGTTACGACGATTACAAAAGCCAGAGGTGGAATACTATCGATATATCGATAGTTTTTGTAAGATGGCAGCACTAAAATTATATAAATACTTAATATTTTGGTTAGGAAAGCACCGCTACTAGACGAGTAAAAAAAACACGCAGATCGGGTCGTTTCGCGTGAAATCGTCGAATCGGCAGTCAGTTGACGTTGGATTTTTTTCAAACTTTGTGGCGGTTTTCTTTGGGGTCTCAATATCCGCCAGGATTTAATTTTGCCTGCGCCGTTTGTCTTTTAACTCTAAAATGCCATTTATAGTTATAGAAAAACGCAAAGCATACAAATTTTGCGCCTCGCAAAGTTGAGCAAAATCTAAAACAGTACAGCAACAATTTTTCTTTTTTCGACGATCTCATAGGACGACTCGACCGAGTTAATCAGGTGAAATTTTAAGCAGTATTCAATTTTAATCATTCTTACAACCGCCGGAAAGCTTTTAAAAAATCACGTTCAAAATGTTGGGAAATTATCGTGTTGGTGTTTTTTTTTTATATGCAAAGAAATTGTACAAAATGGCCTACACACACGAAAGTCTTTCCAGTGGGTGTGGATTTTAAAACGATTTTCATCTGGTTAAAAAAACACACTAGTAGTATGCCTACATCAGTTTATTAACAAACATTAGACTAACAAATCCTTTTGTTTTCTTAACATTTAATTCTACCTCAGGCAAATGCTGTTAAAAACGTTTTTCCATTATTCTCGTGCTTTTTAACGACATTTGCCACCTAAAATCGAATTAAGTTTTAAGAAGTTGAAGATAGATGGGCACTGCTAAATATATAGATTTGTTATGTTTATTTTAAATGTTTTTTTTGGTATATTAGCTCAGGCAATACATGGACGTATATATGTTATACTATATATTATATGGCATATCTTATTTTTAGTTAAAGTTAATGTGTGTGACTTCGATTTTTTCACGTAAACCAAATAAAAATTTGCAGTACTGTTAAGGAATTTGTGTTTTATTTTACCTTTTGCTTTTTTGATTATTTGATCCAACGAAATAATTCATTTTATGGTTATGGATGCAAAAACCAAATGGTATCACTTGGTAGATCGGGCCCTCCTTTCTCATTGGGAGACAAGGACTTGTCTCTGGACGTCAGTAAAAAATGAACATCAGCTCCGCTAGTGGTAAAAAAAAATAACGGAATTTGTGCGATTGAGTTTAGACTCCTTGTACAGCCTGATTTATAGATTGCCTTCCTTCCTTCCTCCCGTAAAAGATGAACTATACGAAAACCGTAGTGCTGTTTATAGATTAGGGTACGGAAAACTATAAACACCTCTACCAATCTATAAATCATCATCATCCTTGGCTGAAACTTGTTTTGTTGGTTTGTTTCATTTTAAATTGTTGCTGGTTACTGTCAATCTGTGAAAGTTTTATTTTTTGAAGCATATATCGATGGTTATTTGACAAAACATCGTAAGCGACAATTTTGTTGAATTACTTTTTATTTTATCAAAGTGTCAGTTACGATAAGCTGCACATGTTAACATAATAGTTATTCCAATTTTGGAATCTAATATTGGTCAGTTTGAATATTTTTATTATTGTAAGCGCCTCTTCTTTTTAATTTGTTACCGATTTATAACGTAAGCGCCTATATGTTCCCGACAAACAATCGTAAGCAACTCCGAGACATGGCGTTTGCGATTTAACATTGTGTCGCTTACGATAATATTGTGCTCCCTCCTTGATCTATCAAGGCGTTATTCCCGCTCTAAACAGTTTGTTCGTGAGTATACCTGCATCGTGGTGATTGCTACCACAATCTACAATGTGGATTGTGATTGCTACCAAGTTTTAAAACAATATTTTATTTGATCAAAAGCTTATAATTCCATTTTATTATTGCAATATTAATAGTTATCCTAATTATAATTGTTTTTACGTAGTGTGGTTCGTTAAAAGTGTTTTTTTGTAGTAATTCTATGTTGTTATAACGTCAAATAATTTGACTCAAATTTATAACGGTACAATGACGGCCAAAAAATTTCGAACGACCTGTCATTCAGTTGATTTTAAATTATAAAACTGCCTTTAGTGACAACTAACCTTACTTTCTGAAAGTTGTCAGTTTGACGTATTTCATTGTTGATTGTGTTGTTTTAAGATTAGATTCTCTGTCTACTTTTTGAAACTGCTTGTCATCTTGTCAAAAATGTCCCTAAGGGTTGGTTTGTACAGACATTTTTTTAAATGACAGAAGTTTGTTTGTTCGAAAATGTAACTTAAGCGACAAGACTAATTTTACATTTTCCTAAAGATGTTCTTATAAAATATCGTATGCCACAAAATTTAATGAAAATTTTAGATTGGAGTTGATCTAACTTAAATATTTGAATTCTACATTAATAAAATAATGTTTCACCAGTTTTCAGATAAATAACTTTAAAAATAAAGCTCCCACACAAAAAAAATCTCTCCTGTAAAATTTAGGTTTTGTCGCTTACGATGTTTTGTCAAATAACCATCGATATATGCTTTGAAAAATAAAACTTTTCATTTGCGCTACACAAAGTTAAGCAAAATCTAAAACAGTGCAGCAACCATTTTTTTGTTTAATGTGTTTATAGGATGACTTGGCTGATCAGGTGAAATTCAGTGTAAAAAAACCCCAACAAATTGCATTTTCTGTAACTTAAATTTGCAGTACTTAAAAAACATGTAATTTTTTACCTTTTTTGGGGAATCACCCCAAAAATAAAACCAATGAAGTCTCATAATTTATTTAATAATTCTGTACAAAAATAACAATACATCTTATACTAACTCATAATAAATACATTTTAAAAACAAGAACATACATAATACTTTTTATTATAAATAAAATTTGTCAAATTGGCAAGATTTTGTTCTATATCATTTTTAAATTTTTTGTGATGTAACATATCAAAACCAAAATCGTTTGAAACTTAAATAATTATAAATATCTATACATTTAATATTATGTCACACCAAAACAACATTAATTATTTTTTAAATACTTTCAATGTTTATCCTAATGCAGCTGGGTTCAAAAGTAAAATTTTACCGAATTAACTATTTAATAAAGGAATTAAATTGTTTTTTTTAATACAAATTGGCCAATTAAAATATTAAATTATCCATTCTGAATAAAAATAAATAATTTTACTTAAAATTTACCCAGCTTCTTGGGGCATTTTTTAATAATTTTTAATCTTACACAACATTCATATTTATCGTCTTAATAATGGGGGGGCTTCTTCGAGTTTCCTCCATACAACCTATAAAAAAATCAAAATAATAATTTGTATAGTTATCGTATTAAAAGTATTAATACTTTGCGACAAACTCGCTAAATATATATATTAATTAATATTCTGCAAGCATTTCTCTTATCACCGCTTTTGTTTAATTTCGTTCAGGATCTCATGCCAGCATCGACAGACGCGTTTCGTCGAGCCTATAGCAACTCGGCACTGATGAGTTCCACAGAACGAAACGCGTCTGTCGATGCTGGCATGAGATCCTGAACGAAATTAAACAAAAGCGGTGATGCTTGCAGAATATTTAATTAATAATTTGTATGTTTTAAGCGAAAAAACTTAGTTCTCACGTTACACATCTCCCGGACTAAAGCCTTCTCCCCGTCGTCCATATCCGTGTCCGGCACGGGGTCGGTTCTGTCCGGTGCTCTGGCCTCTCTTTCCAGCTGCTCTCGCACCTCGAGAACCTGGAGAGCCCTCACCACGGCTTCCGGCCTTCCGCTCAGCACCCCCGCCCCGCTGTCCTGCGGAATCGCCAGACTTTGGTCCCCGGTACTGGTCGCGATCTGATTTATCTTGTGGGTTAGCGAGCGTTTGTCTTCTTCCAGCTGGTTCACGCGCTGCTCTAGGCTTCGCACGTACTGCATGATTTGGTCTAGAATGAATATTTAGATTTTACTTGATTTGTGGCTATTAGGTACGAAAAAATTCGTGATTATAATACATATTATATAATGTATTATAAATGTTAAAAAGTGGCATTAAAAACGTATAAAGTTGTAAATGATTTTTTTTACTTTGTAATAGTTTTATTATTTAAACGTTTTTTTAAGAGAAATTTAAATTTTCTTTGTGATAATTCCGCAGTATTTAAGGTGCGACTAAAATTGTTTGAATATAACAATGGCATATATTTCCTTATGCAAGCAAGAGTTAAGTACCTACAATATTTTTAGTCTGACAAGCACAGTACAGTACAAGGTTAGATTGATAGTAACAAATTGTTGTTAAATGTGTGGTTTAGTAGGATTATTAAGTATAAAAACCTACATTTTATTGTCTTAAAATAAAGAAATATGACTGAAATTTTAATATTAAAATATATCTTATATATCTTATATAAGTGCGTATCTCAATTTACTTTTGTGTATTTCCGCGAAACCTTAACAGATTCAGATATGTTATTTAAAAAAAACAAAAAGATAAATAAATAAATAAATAGTTCAATTACGACGTAATTTATATTCGTACATAGTAATGCTAGGAAGCTAAATTTACGAATAAAAACGGAACAGTTTCAATACCCGATAAAAAGTTCAAATGTCGCACCCGTTACATTTTGAGAAAATTTTAGAAAAGTATACAATATTTTTGCATTTAAAGTTTGAGGTTACTATTAAACTTCTACACAAACAAATATACTATATTCTATTGTTCAAAATTTTACTGAATCAACTTTGGAAGCAACTTGGTCGTATTTGCCAATTTTCTAATGTCGCGCCCATTTCGCGATTCCAGCCGTTGTAAAAGGTTTTCTATACAAGTTTTTATTGACATTGAGTTAAGTATCTAATTTTTTATACTATTTTTGTATATTAACGTATCTTGATATTTCCTAACAAACTCTTTATTATCATGTAAAAACGCAGTGTCAGTGTCGCACCCGTTACAATGGAAATTAGGCAACTGCACAGACTCTAACGGCGGCCATTTTTATGTTGTTTACAATTCATGTGCTTCGGGTTTGTGCTGTTTATACAAATTAATAATTTTTTTAAACGTTGTGTTTCTTACAGAGGCACTTGTAAGCCTCAAAAGAGGCCTTAAGTGACAAGGGCAACCATTTTACTTCTCTTTTGTAAAAAATAAACCTTATTCTATTAGAGCTGTCATTAAACTGTCAAATGTCAATTTTAAGGTTAATTTTTGGGTTAAGAATTGAAATTTTACAGTTTAATGACAGCCCTGATAGAATAGGGTTTATTATTTAAAACGATTTTTAAGGTGTATAAACAGCAGAAACCCAAAGCACAAGAATTGTAAACAACATAAAAATGGCCGCCGTTAGTCTGTGCAGTGGGTTGCCTAACTTCGTGATTTTTAGTATGCGCGAAACGAGATATGACAGATTGTGAACTTATGCTTAATTTTTACCTTAACTTCTACAATTAAAAAAAAATAACAAATTAAATGATGTTTGAAAACGCATCATGATGATATAAATAGCCTCAATTCCACTGAAAGTGACAGATACCTAACCTCAATTCTACGATTTTTTGCCAGTGAATCGATGCATTGTTGTCGGATTTACATTTTATTTCAATATCGGTAATATTTGATTAAATCCGGAATTTATGGCACGCTGTTTTAACATTTATTAAATATTTTTTTAACATTTATTAAGTATTTTTTTATTTAAAATTTTCCTAACTAACAGTTCACTTCTGTATTAAACTATATTATTTACAATCAATTTTTGCAAAAAATTTTATAAAAAATAATTTCGTAAGTAAAATTTATTTGGGCAGAATTTTGAAAATCCTAGTTAAATTTTTTAATATTTAAAAGTAGTGTCAAAACATTTAAAAAAACACATATAAAACATTGACTACCAAAATAGTTTTAAAAGTTAGGTAATTTTTTTAAATCTCAAAACAATTGATAATCAAAAAATATTTTAAATTTAAAATGCAAATGTAAAAGTTTAAGTTTAAAATATTGGTTTGAATTTTTAAGAGTACATAATTTAAATGATAAAGTTTAAGAATTTATTAAAAGCATTTAACATTTTTTGTTCCAATGACTGATTGTTATCCTAGAATTACCAAAGTGTTTTCCATAACACAATGTATATATGTATTTACAAAACTCTATTTCAAGACCGATTTTGTAATTCCCAAAGAGTATTTTATTATTTAAATTCTTTAATTTTAAGAGGTTCTTCTTTGGTAAAACTTTGGTCAAAACCATTATATTGAACACCTGCCGAAATCTCCCAAATTGCATTGAAATTCTTTCCTTTATTACAGTGCTTTCATTTATTTATATTTATTCGAGCAGGTCACTTATCAGGTAACCGATACAATGAACAAAAAACACAGGTATATCGTATTACTTAAGGGGCGTTCCAAGCAAACACAAAGAATTATCTTTATTTCCTGTATATCAACAAAAAACAGTAAATTTTTGGGTGAATATACCTATTTAACGTTCATGTAAATTTTTGTGGATGTCCTCATTATAACGGAAATTTTACTTGCTTTTTTGTAACGATTTATTTCATGCCTAAACTATTCAGGAGTTACAATAATAGTTTGGCCAAGTAGAACTTAAAATATACATCTAATAAAGTTTTTATAGTTTGTCATTAAAGTACACTTGCAAGCAATAGCTATTAAATTCGGATACCCAGCAGTCATGTTTTTCAATGCGTTGACAATATCCTTTTGCATGCCTTTAAAATCAATACATTCATTAACCCACTAAATACCGTATGTTTTTTAATTCAGTCAACGCATAAATACATTACTTTAGAATGTCAGTAGTACCTGGTACATTCATTTTATCAAATCACCACTACACGCGAATAGCACGTGGTCAATCAAAAATTTAGCGCAATAGCGTAGCGAGGACGTGATTAAGATTAACATGGGGTAATTTTTTAATTATTCCAACAAATTAACAAGCTACCAGAGTTGTTCCCACAGCTGTAACACATGCTATTTAGAGATAAAATATACTTTTGTATATGCTTCAGGAAATGATTCTATAAATTATTAATAATTTCCCACAGTTGGCAATTAAAGTTTAGTGATTTGCTCTTCTTGTACACTGGCTTAATAAACGATGTGAGATAGTTTCGTTAAGTTATTCAAAAAATAATTTGTGTAATTAGATTAATTAGGGGCAGGGCCGTAGCGACGGACTCAGGGGCCCCGGTGCAAAACTTTAGGATAGGATAGGATATCGAAAATTACGATTTTTTAGTAAAACTTTTTAGTTTTGGGGGCCCCTTTGAGGTCGGGGGCCCTGGTGCACCGCACCGCCTGCACCAGCCTCGCTACGGCCCTGATTAGGGGGATTATTACACAATAGTTAAAAGGATGTCGTTTGATGTTAAAACATGTTTTTTCTACTCCCACCTAGCTATAATAAGAAATAGGACTACAATAATTGTTGTGACATCGCTGGGTGTCATAAATTTTGGGAAAAAACTTCTTACTTTATCACTATGTATAAGCTCAAATTAAAATCAGAATAAAAATTTCTTAGCATCGTTACTGAAGTTAAAAAGTAAAAAATCATCAAAAGAATACTGTAGAAAGAAAATTAAACCTTAGTACAATTTTCCGCCAGGTTGTAGAAACCAGGTTAATATTTATATAAACATTGAATTAATTTCATATAACATTATTATAATAACGCTGAGAAATATAATTCAGCTTTGGTTAATTATAATTTCTAGCTTTATTATTGTAGATTTAGAAAGTGAGAAATACATATAAATCATTTATTTGAACGATATTTAAAAATTCTCTCACGAGAGAAAGCAACATTTTTATTTAAACAAATATGCATAATGTTAATTAAGTTATACTGAACTAATTTTGTTACATAATAAATTAGGAATTTTGTTATTTTGCTTGATTTATATAAATTAATTAAATTGATAAATATTTTGGTACATTTTTTTTCGATATTTAATACCAATTTTCAGGAAATTTTTATTATTTTTAGATTTCCGTTGTTTTAATGATTTATTATATTAAAATTACAGTAATTTGTGTTTATATATGTATTTTCTACTATACAGGGTGTTTGTACTCAAAATGGACAACGTAATAAATACATATTTATCATTTGAGCTTTCGTTTTTAAATTATTAACCTTTTTTGTTTTTTGGTTATTGAAAAATCTCCAATTTTCCTAGTTTACTTGATTTAACTATTTTACAGGGTGTTGAAAACTAAGCCGAAAAAACTGTACAGTGTATGATTTTAAAATAGTTTGACCCAAATTGTCTTATTCAAAAAAAGCCATGAAGACTGCACATAGAAGGGTCAATACAAAATCCAAGGTTAACCATAAATAAATTTGTAAGTTATTGTACATTTTTGTTTACTTTTTAAACCATAGGTACTCTGTTGCTTAAGCAAATTTTCAAGTTTGGAACTAATAAACCGATTCGAGTAAAATTTTGATATAGGTATTTTTCACTATTAAAAATGAACAACGCAATAAATAAATATTTTTCATTTGAGCTTTTGTTTTTAAATTATCGACCTTTTTTGTTTTTGTTAGTAAAAAATCGACAATTTTAATAATTTTCTTGATTTAACGATTTTACAGGGCGTTGAAAACTAAACCGAAAAAAGTGTACAGTATGATTTTGAAATGATTTGACCCAAATTGTCTTATTCAAAAAATGTTCCAGAAGCCATGAAGACTGCATATAGAATGGTAAATACAAAATCCAAGGTTAACCCTAAATAAATTTGTAAGTTATTCTACATTTTTGTTTACTTTTTAAACTATACTTGGTTGCTTAAGCAAAATTCCAAGTTTGGAACCAATAAGTCGATTCAAGTAAAATTTTGATACGTTAAGAATATGTTTTCTCAATATTTTCTATATGGAATTGTTTTTTTCGATATTTAATATTAGTTTTCAGGTAATTTTCATTATTTTTAGGTTTTTTGTTGTTTTAATGATTTATTATATCAAATTTATAATGTTTTGTTTATACCGGGTCTCCCAAAAGTCAACGATATCCTTTGGAGGACTGATAGACCGACTCATTACTAAGCAGAAAATCAAAATATGACCTTAGTAAAAAAATCGTTTGTCATTTTTATAAATTTTGTAAAACTTGACACCTTAGATCAGTTTTTCGAGTGCCACAGCTACAAAATCTACTATTAATGTAATTAATAGCAGTCCTATTCAGGGCTACGCAAAATAAAATATAATCTAAGAATATAGAATGTTGTAGTTGTGGCACACGAAAAACTGATTTTATAAAATAATATATTAATATTAATAAATATTAAGATTAATATCTTAAAAACTAATGATTTTTTAATAAGGTCATGTTTTGATATTCTAATTAGTCATGAGCTGACCTATTAGTCCCTCAAAGGATATCGTTGACTTTTGGGACACTCTGTATAGGTATTTTCTAGTGTATAGAGGATGTTTCTACTCAAAATACGCAATAAATAAATATTTTTCATTTGAGCTTTTGTTTTTCAATTATCGACCTCTTTTGTTTTTTGGTTATTGAAAAATCTCCAATTTTCCTAGTTTTCTTGATTTAACGATTTTAGAGGGTGTTGAAAACTAAACCGAATAAAGTGTATAGTGAATTCTAGGTATGATTTTGAAATGATTTGACCCAAATAATTCAAAAAATGCTCCTATAGGACCCAGATCTTCTATAGAAGCCATAGAAGGGTCAATACAAAATCCAAGGTTAACCCTAAATAAATTTCTAAGGCCCGTTATTTCCATTGCGAGTTAAATGCGAGTTACATCTAAACTTAAAGTTAAATTTGAAAATCTATATTTCAATGTCTGGATTACTCTAATTTGTGAGTTAACTCGCATTTACAATTAACTCGAAGCTCAGGTACAAGTTAACCTAGACATTGTGAATTAACTTAACCAAATGTTGGTTTATTAGGAACACAGCTATTTAAATATTAAAATTTTAAATAAGGACATAAAAATAGTAACGACAAACAATAATAAATGAGCTGACAATAATTAATTTTTTCTACTCCTATTATGGAATATATATATATAATAATATATATCACTTTTATCTATGGAATGAAATATATTCCGTAAAGTGTTACAAAATGAATTATTCTATCATCTGAGGACAGAATAAACACTCGTGGCGACATCTCTGTTTTTAATATCTAATAAATTTTAGACCGATCCAACCTCACTTTCTTTCAATTAGATTATTTATCTATGGTATTTTTTGGAAACGTAGAAAAAGTATAGTCTGAAACACGTTTGGAATTTCATATTCCCCTCTCGTGAAACCGTCAAACTCGCCTTCGGCTCGTGTGATAAACTTTTCACTCGAGCGGAATATGCTGAATTCCAAACTTGTTACAGAATATACTATTCCTTCATTAATATCTTTTTTTGTTGCAACTGTTTAGTAAAAATTTTAATTTTTAATTAATGTTCTTCTGTTAACTTTTCCCTTTGACTGTTAACTGGTTCTTTCAACATTTTGGTGGTGTATTCTGTCCAGTTGTTGGCTTCTCCTGCCCTCTCACCTGTGTTGACCATCCCATCGCTATCGACAACAAATTCACCAATGTCTACATTTGCTTTTGGCATTATTGTTACGATTTGTACCTCAGCATTTTCTTTTTCATGCTCCAAATTATTGAGTTCATTTTCCATGTCCTTCATGAGGACTGACTCATCTTGATCGCAATCGAAAAGGGCAATTAAACCATATATTTGATCACCTAATATTTCTTCCACTGTTTTGTCTATTTCGTCCGTATCTTAAATTTTACCTGAACATCCCCCAGTTTGTCTTATAATGTTCGTGATTGCCATAATTTTGACTTTCGATGTTTTTTATACTTATTTATTAGGTCTTTTTTCTCGAACAGGGCTCGTGGCGTTAAACGTGATTGTAATACGTTCCCAAGTACATCTTTCTGCTTCCAAATAAACTGCCCACTTTTTTTACATTCTATGATGTGCTTATCGTTCAAAACCAGATTAAGCAGCAATTGATCTTGTTTTACTAAAATTGGTTGGTCTCGATCTGGACTCTTTTTTCTCAATCTCACTCATTTTTGCTGATAATACTTTACCCAAAATTTAATTTAATTGCAAGCTTTCAAACATTCAAACTACTACACCTTAAAAAACTCTCTTTATCAAACCGCCCATAGATGGCTTTAAATTTAAATTAATTTTAAATAAAATCTATACAATAATTATAGAATCAGGGATACCAACATAAAGATAAACTTCTTAACTTAGAGTTACTAAACTCGGGTAGCAAAATCTTTGGAAAAACCCATAAAAACATAACTTTAAGTTAACTTCGAATTTAAGTTAATCCTAGGTTTACTAACACGAAAGTTTACTCGCATTGGAAATAACGGGCCTAAGTTATTATACATTTTTGTTAACTTTTTAAAACCGTTACTCTGTTGCTTTGGACCTAATAAACCGATTTAAGCAAAATATGTTTTCTCCAATTTTTTCGCAAATTTCATTTCTCACCGTTAAACGTGCTCCTCTGCCTGGCCAAATTCTCGTGCAAAAGTCTCTCCCTACTGGCACTCCTCCGCGGCGGCTCCCCGCCAGCACCGAACTGTTGCGGAACCGCCGGCTCGTCGGCATTGGTGCTCGAACTCGAACCGTCCCCGTCGTCCCTCAAGTTGTTGGCGGGCACCGAACCGCAGTTGGCGCACATCGAATTGCCGCCCCTCTCCTCGTCCAAGTACAAGCACAACTCCTTCAGCTCCAAATTGTCTTTGATCAGCTCCTGCTGCTTGTTGTCCAGCTCGCGGAGCTTCATCTGGTACGCGGACACCTCCTGCCGCATCACGGAGGCGGTGTAACGCCCGAAACGCTGCCACTCCCGCGCCAACTTGCGCCCCTTTTGCCTGTCGTCGTCGAGGAAGCAGCACAGGTCGCGCAGCTCCTGGTTGTCGTCCGCCAGGTGCTGATTGGCTTCTTTCAGGGACCTCAGCTCCAGCAGGGCATTCTGCATGTGCCGTTGGTCGGGGATGTCCTGTTTGCGCACGAACTTCAGCATTTCTGGACGCACGAACTCCTCTTCGTATCTAATGGGGGCTCTATGAAGCCGGGGGTCTATTTGGGGAATCCCTGGTTCATCCAGTGGTCTGGGTCTGGAATCCTGGTGTATCTGCACTGTAGTTCTCTGTGGTTCCTCCAAGGGCGTTCTGATTTGCGCTGGATACACAGGGTACTGGTACTGTTTGTTGGGGTAGTGATAGGGTATTTTAGGGGGTATATTCTCAGGTCTACTAATTACGTTATCCCCAGTTTTTCCTGCAAAATTCTTAGCATCTTTTTTAAGTATTCCCTGGTTGTTTGGTATTGGTGGCGGTTGGTATCTCGGCGGCACTACGTTGTTCTCGTTTGTTTTTGCGATGAATGGCGGTTTTTTTGACATGTTAAAAACACTCGGATCACTTCATGTTGTCGCTAGAACCGTTTAACTTTAACTGCACCATTTGGGTTTTAAAACACAATGTGGGTCACATAAGTGTTACAGCTTCGATATTTCGGTGATTTCACTTCGGCTCGCACTCAAAATTACCATGACACATCTATCGCTCCACGCCTTTGCTTTATTAACATACAAAACCATAAAGTACTTCACTTTTGGTGAGTTTAATGAGGCAGCGTCTTATTGTGACTGCGCTAGTCAACATGGCTGATTTTACACTGCTTTGGCCGTTTCTTGAGACGTCATCAGGTAGTACCCAGTGTTGGGAGAGGGGGGATTGGTAAGAGGCTGGTGCCTTCAATGAGCGTACAGAAATCGTACAACTTTTCGCAAAGGAATGTTAAATATTGGACATCGATATCTTTTAAGGGATACTATATGTATGTGTCATGTTACGTCTAAAACAGGGGAAAAGTTTCAAGGGTGGGACTCTTTGTTTTAAAGTTCTCTCAAGAATTACTCTTTTTATAAAAAAAATATTTTTAAGAGATGTTTGAGAAGGCCCTTTTGTTTGGTAATATTTATTTAAAATATATTTTTATTTTATATTAAAGTACCCAATCTTTAATTCTGTTTACTTGATTCGTGATATCAGCCAATATTGGCTGCAAAAAGATTTGAAAAGAAATCATCAGTTATTTACATATACTTAATTAACCATATATTATTAGTTTAGTATTTTTTATTTGTTACTTGCTTTTAAAATATGCAAATGACCGCAGTAAAAATATTGTCATTTAACGTAGGCAGATTTTAAAAATACCTGTTTTTAACTACTTGAACGCATCTTCAAGTAATTTTAAAATTGTGTTTATAAGATAAAATTCTTCGCTTAAAGAAGAATTTTAATTTAAACTCAAGAACATTTAGTGCTTTTAATAAATTGGGTTACCATTATTAATGTATGCGTAACTGTTAAATGTTCTGAATACGCATTATCATTTCCAAATAAACCAATACCAAAAACAAATACAGGTATAATTACTAATAGTCTGTATCTAGAGGGCAAATAAATTAAAAGTTGACGAACTATGAAAGATAGAGGTAATGTAGGCAACCCAGAATGCATACTGTAATAATATGGCTTAGGTTGTGGCATTGATTAAGTTCACTGTAAAATAAAATGATTTTATATTGTGATTTTTGCCCATTCCATGTGGGTGTCATAAAAAATGCGTATTTTAAATTACGCATTTTTAATTTAGTCCTTTTTAGGTTTTTTTTTACCTATTCTGTATGACCTTTTATTTTTTTTTCTCTTTTTAATTTTTTTTCTTTAAAATTTCCATAATAGGTATATTATATTTTTAGGTAATTTTGTAGATTTCCTATATTTTGTTTGTATGTTATAAATTATCAATATACTTTTAATAAATTTTTTAGATTTCCTATATTTTGCTTTTGGTTACCTTCTTTGTATGACTTTTTGTTTTTTTTTTAATTTCTATAATGCATATACAGGGTGTCCAAAGTTATTTGCTCGCCATTGCTATAGCGGAGTTATAACTCTGTTATTTAAAAAAATGTCATTTTAGGGTACAGTAGGTACTGGTTGTTTAATTTTTACTTTAAAACATTGTCGTCCTGAAGTATGACATTCATTTTTGAAAGGTATTGGTTGCCGCTTTTTTGCTCTCATTTGATTACACTATTACCTAGAATTTTTTTGTTTTTAAATTTTGCATCTCCATTTCTATTTTTTCTGTGGCGCGAGATTTGAAACACCCTGTATATATTTTTCGGGCATTTTTTAGATTCCCTATATTTTGATTTTATGTTTACCTACCTAGGTACTTCCCTGCTGAAAAAAACTGATCGAAACTCGATCTTTTTTTATCATATTTGATCATGGTCCAGAAAATTCTCGATCCTTTTTTATCATATTTAATGAGGTTCTAGAAATTCTCGATCCTTTTTTATCATTTTCGATCAGATTTCGCAGTCGATCCTATTTGATTATAAAAACACGATCGAGTTTCGATCCTTTTTTATCATATTTGATCAGATTTCGAAGTCGATCCTATTTGATCATGAAAACACGATTGAGTTTTGATAACATATTATCGAAACTCGATCGTGTTTTCATGATCAAATATGATCGACTACTAGGTTCTTGAAATTCTCGATCCTTTTTTATCATTCTCGATCAGATTTCGAAGTCGATCCTATTTGATCATAAAAACACGATCGAGTTTCGATCCTTTTTCGAACATTTTTGATAAGGTTTTCGTGGTCAAAAAGGATCGTTTCGATCCTGTTTTCATGATCAAATAGGATCGAGTTTCGATCCTTTTTGATAACGAAAACAGGATCGAAACTCGATCCTTTTTCGATCATTTTCCATAATGTTTCCATAATTAATTCTAAAATAAAAGATACAATTTTCAAAACATGAAAACTTTATTGGGCACTTTCAAAAAGATCGGATGACAACGATGATGATGATGAAATTCGTAATTATAATTACATTTCCTTATTATAAGAAAAAGTAGTATTATGTACTACTTTTCATGCGCTACCTTATGATGATTAATTAATGATACGAGGTATTGCGCCTAAGCCATCGATATATTTAAATTAAAAAAGTTCCAATAAAATAAAATCTTGACATACTTGTCTAGGGAAATCTAGGGATTTTTTTGTAAAAAATCTGGGGAAATAAAAAAATATCATCTGGCAACCCTGTCTGTAATGTGTCTATAATCTGTGCACGTGCTTGTCATGTTGGTTTTTTGTTATCGATTTTACGGTTTTACTGTGGGTTTTTCTTTACTATAATAATTAAAAATTCGATGAAAAGTACTGATTGCCATCAAACAAAAAAAACTTATGATTCCCGAGTTGCGGCAATTTTTTATGAATTTTGTTTTTTCGGCCCCTGAAAAGTAAGGTTATGTATACAAATTTTACTATGAATTTATTTGTTATAGGTAAATTTAAAGACAGCAAGATAGCAAGATGTCAATTAATTTAACCGCTGATGGACCATGTGCTTTTTTTAAATTTTGCGACACGGGGCATAAAAAAAGGGCGTTGCTGTCGGAAATTTCAAATTTCGATGCAAAAACTTTCTCTCGAAACAAGAAATACTTTATTGAACGTGAGGGAGCAACTGCGCAATGCGTTGTTTCTTTTTTTGCAAGTAAATAATTAATTTTTAGTCTTGTATATAGTTATACAGGGTGATTCAGTTTTAACCTACCAGGGAAAAATGTTCCTCCCATTATCCTGATTCAGAAAAATATCACACATAAGTTGACAAAGAAAAAACGTTTTTTCGTCATATCTTCTATGAAAATGATAAAAATTAATCATAATTTTGTATACATACCTTTCATATGAAAGCCCTATTTTTGAAAAATAAAATTGTTAAAATTTGATACAACATTGGCGTGCAATGGGGCCACATCAAAATATAAAGAAAAAAAGTACGCCACAATATATGAGCTAAAGCAAAACGAAAATACAAATCCAAAAAAAAAAAAAAATTTGAAAAATCGCCGAAGGAAAAAAGGTATGAATGAAAATTTGCAAGATTATTTTGACAATATTAAAATAGTAATATAAATATATTCCCTAAAGGGACACTTTTTTTTGTTTTAGAAAAAGGATAAAAATTTCATCACCATCGTCATCCGATACTTTTGAAAACGAAAATGTCCAATAAATTTTTCATGTTTTGTAAATTGTATCTTTTATTTTAGAATTAATAATGGAAACCTTATGAAAAATGATCGAAAAAGGATCGAGTTTCAATCCTGTTTTCGTGATCAAAAACGATATCGAACCTCGATCCTATTTAATCATAAAAACAGGATCGAAACTCGATCCTTTTTGATCACGAAAACAGGATCGAAACTCGATCCTTTTTCGATCATTTTTCATAAGGTTTCCATAATAAGTAAAAGTAGTACTATATACAACTTTTCATACTCTTACCTTATGACAGTAGTCTGAAAAGAGAGACCCAAAAATGACTTATCCCCTTATTCCCCGAAACCACGGAATTATTGTTGTGAATATTATTTTATAAAATATATGACTGTTATTATTATAATTACGAATTTCATCATCATCGTCGTGGTCATCCGATTTTTTTGAAATACAAAGTGCCCAATAAAGTTTTCAAGTATTGTAAATTGTATCTTTTATTTTAGAATTAATTATGGAAACCTTATGAAAAATGATCGAAAAAGGATCGAGTTTCGATCCTGTTTTCGTGATCAAAAAGGATCGAAACTCGATCCTATTTGATCCAGAAAACAGGATCGAAACTCGATCCTTTTTGATCACGAAAACAGGAGACAAAATCCTTATCAAAAATGATCGAAAAAGGATCGAGTTTCGATCCTGTTTTCGTGATCAAAAAGGATCGAAACTCGATCCTATTTGATCCAGAAAACAGGATCGAAACTCGATCCTATTTGATCACGAAAACAGGAGACAAAATCCTTATCAAAAATGATCAAAAAGGATCGAGATTTAAACTCGATCCATTTTCGATCAGTTTTTTTCAGCAGGGTTTGGATAACTTTTTACTTAAGTAGACAATTGTCTATTTTTTTTCTTTAAAATTCCTATATATTTTTAATGGTTTACCCTTGTCTTAATAAATTCAATATATTTTTAATAAATTGCCAATTCCCATATTTCACATGTTTTTAAATTTATACAATAAATTTTCGTTTTTTGTATAAGGGTCCAGTGTTTTTTTAATTTATAGTATTATCAAGCAATATTTATATTTTCTTCTATAGCAAATTGTTTAAAACCTTTTGATTGGCTGACACTTTCTATATCCTACATATTCTGGTTTTATAAATTGATTTCTAATCTCGTTAAAAAGTAATATTATCTAAATGGAAAACATTGGAAATCAATCAATAAAGTATAAGAAAGTATTATTTTCCTGTATTCGCGTAGTTTATCAAAATTTTGTATAAATTTTCCGAACACCAACACGTTTCTAAATCATTTTGAAACTCGCCCTTCACACCACCAAAACAACAAATCCCCACAAATGTCCGATCACTATAATAGTGATATTATGTCACTGATATATCAGCGTAAAAAATCACGCGTATTCGAAAGCTCAAAGCACTCCACAGCTGATGTTGTTTACATGCACGCGGCGCGCGCGCATTTGGCGCCCACCCGCAAGGTGACCTCTACGGCAGTCCCGCTCTCTGAAACCGTCAGTCAGCCGGTTCGTCTCGAAAATTTCAGTATCGCTCGACGAGAAAATGTCGAAGCCACAAAGCGACACGGAAAGAAGAAAGCAGATTTCGGTGAGAGGAATCGCAGAGCTCGACGATGTCAACGAGATCAAGAAGACTTTCAACAGGCATCTGCACTACACCCTGGTCAAAGACAGGAATGTGTCCACCTCCAGGGATTACTATTTCGCCTTGGCCAACACTGTAAGGGACCACTTGGTGTCCAGATGGATCAGGACCCAGCAGTACTACTACGAAAAAGACCCAAAGGTAAAACTCCTGAAATACGCATCGAAAATTTAAATGCAAAGTATTTTTAACTTTCGATACTAGTCTTTGCCAAAAAACATTGCCTTTTGGACTTCTTGTTGCCAATTACCAACTTTTAATTCATCATTTTCATTTTTGTGGCATTCCAAGTTTTTATATGGCATGACCTTTATACATGCTAAGGTTAAATGAGACTAATCTATTTTTGGCCAATATTCTTAATTTAAATTCATTTTATTTAAAAAGTGTGTTTGGGGTTTTACAAAATATTGAAGCAAATTTCCATTTTTATTAATAGATATTTTTAGACATGTTTTTATTAAAACAAATGATATGATATAAAATAATTAATTTAAATTAGTTTGAACTACACACTAAATGAGTCAAATAAATTTTAATCTAAAGCAATTTTTAGATTGTCTATCGGACATTTGATTAATAAATTGTATAACTTATATCTTATCTTTACTCCGTATATTAAGTAATTTATGTATTACTGTTTCATAACACTATCAATAATTTGAAATTTTAATACTATATTTAATGCAAATTTTAATTATTTCACCTGAATTTTATTTAATGCAAATCTTTCAAGTTTCATGGAAGAGCTCCTTAAAACCAAACTGTTAAATGTCAAGAGTTATTAAAAATAGATAAAAAATGCACCTTAAAATATAAATTTGCATTAAAATATTAATAATAGCAAAATATCTTCTAAAAGATATCTGTAAGATATCTTATAAGATATCTATAAGATATCTTACAGATATGTGCCGTTTTAGCCGTCTATAAGATATCTGAAATAAGATTTATCTCAGATACGCACATACTGGATTCAAGACATTGAGACATCTTCTAAGAAATCTTTAGGACATCTTTTGGCCATCTGTATAAAATAGCTGGAATTGGTCATCTGGAAGATATCTTTTTGAGATGTCTAATAGAAATAACTAAAAAGATATCTTATAGATGTCTTTAAGAGATGGTATAATAGTACATGGACGACGGAGCTTTGTTTTCAAGTTTGCTGTGGGATGTGAAGAAATCGCCCCCATATATACACAATAGTTTCCTCATTTTGGTACATAAGTTTGACCTCTAAGACTGAATAAATTGTACTCCTATCGAATGATAATTTTGCATGCTACTTATGTCATAGCTGATAACATAATATTTGTTTATAAAACAACACATTTTACAATCTTACAGATTTGAATAGGAACCATTATTAATGAGAATGAAAAAATTGACATTAATGTAAATTATTGGTAATAAATAATATTATTTTAAAACAATATATTTCATTCCTTATCGCTAAACAAATTAGATCATACGTAAAATTATGTACTTTATTATAGGAAATAAACTTGTTTTGTTGTCTGCCAAAAATAAGTTGCTTGTTTAAAAATATACCAAATTTGTTGGCAACACTTATTCAGTCAATAAACATGTATTTTTATTAATTTATGCAAAAAATACTGGTTTATTTTTAATTTAGAAAATGAAAAATCTTACTCTCTTTACTTCTTTTAGAGAGTTTACTACCTCTCCTTGGAGTTCTACATGGGCAGATCCCTGCAGAACACCATGATAAACCTTGGCATCCAAAGTCCAGTCGATGAAGCTCTCTACCAACTCGGTTTGGACATTGAGGAACTCGAAGAGTTAGAAGAAGACGCCGGTCTGGGTAACGGAGGTTTGGGTCGTCTTGCGGCTTGCTTTCTAGACTCCATGGCCACTCTTGGTATGGCCGCTTATGGTTATGGTATCAGGTATGAGTACGGTATTTTCGCGCAAAAGATCGTTAACGGCGAGCAACAGGAGGAACCCGATGATTGGTTGCGTTATGGTAACCCATGGGAGAAAGCAAGGCCTGAGTACATGATCCCCATCAATTTCTATGGGCATGTTATTGATACCCCACAGGGCAGGAAATGGGTTAACGCCCAACAAGTATACGCTTTGCCTTACGATAACCCCATCCCTGGTTATCAAAATAATGTTGTCAACACTTTGAGGTTGTGGTCAGCCAAGTCGCCTGTAGATTTCAACTTGAAGTTCTGTAAGTTACAACCTACAATAAATTTAACACGTTTATTGTTTTCTTTTCTTTGCAGTCAACGATGGTGATTACATTCAAGCCGTATTGGACCGTAATCTGGCCGAAAACATCTCTCGGGTTTTGTACCCCAACGATAACTTCTTTGAAGGCAAAGAGTTGCGCCTTAAGCAAGAATATTTCATGTGCGCTGCCACTCTATCCGACATCATCCGCAGATTCAAGTCGTCACAATTCGGAACCCGTGAAGCTACAAGAACCAACTTCGATCTTCTACCCGAAAAAGTTGCGATTCAGCTCAACGACACTCATCCATCCTTGGCCATCCCCGAACTGATGAGGGTGTTGGTGGATATCGAGAAATTGCCGTGGGAAAAGGCGTGGGAGATCACCGTGAAAACTTGCGCTTACACCAACCACACCGTCCTTCCTGAAGCTTTGGAAAGATGGCCTGTGACTATGTTGGAAAGCATTCTCCCGAGACATCTCGAGATCATCTACCACATCAACTTCCTGCACATGAAGAATGTCGAGAAGAAATGGCCCGGCGATTTCGATAAAATGAGGGCCATGTCTTTGATTGAAGAAGACGGCGAGAAGAGAGTCAACATGGCTCACTTGTCCATCGTGGGATCTCACGCAGTCAACGGTGTGGCCAGAATCCACTCCGAGATCATCAAAGCCGATTTGTTCAAAAACTTCTACGAATTGACGCCCGAGAAGTTCCAAAACAAGACCAACGGAATTACACCGCGCAGATGGGTTTTGCTTTGCAACCCAGGCCTTTCAGACTTGATCTCGGAGAAAATCGGCGAGAACTGGATCGTCCACCTGGACGAACTGCAGAAGTTGAAGAAGTGGGCCAAGGACCCAAACTTCCAACGCGCCGTCGCCAAGGTTAAGCAAGAAAACAAACTAAAGCTTGCTCAGCTGTTGGAAAAGCAATACAACGTGAAAATCAACCCTGCTAGCATGTTCGATATTCACGTGAAACGCATCCACGAGTACAAAAGACAACTCTTGAACTGCCTGCACATCATCACCATGTACAACAGAATCAAGAAAGACCCCACCTTGAAGGTGACACCGAGAACCATCATGATCGGTGGTAAAGCCGCCCCTGGATACTACACGGCCAAAAAAATCATCAAACTCATCTGCGCTGTCGGCAAAGTAATCAACAACGACCCCGTCGTGGGGGAAAAACTCAAGGTTATCTTCTTGGAGAACTACAGAGTCACCTTGGCCGAAAAAATCATTCCTGCTGCCGATTTGAGCGAGCAAATCTCCACCGCAGGTACCGAGGCCAGTGGTACGGGTAACATGAAGTTCCAGCTGAACGGAGCTCTCACCATCGGTACCCTCGATGGTGCCAACGTTGAGATGGCGGAAGAGATGGGCAACGAAAACATTTTTATCTTCGGCATGACCGTCGATGATGTGACCGCGTTGCAGAAGAAGGGCTACAACGCGTATGATTACTACAGTGCCAATCCCGAATTGAAACAGGTTGTCGACCAGATCCAGAACGGTTTCTTCAGCCCGGAAAACCCCGATGAATACAAAGATATCGCTGATATTCTTCTGAAGTACGACAGATTCCTTCTTTTGGCCGATTACGAGGCCTATATTAAGAAACAGGAAGAAGTCAGCGCAGTTTATCAAGTAAGTCACTTCAACATTTCTTTTTTATTTATTTCTAGGTAATTTTTTTTTAGAACCAAGCCAAATGGTTGGAAATGGCGATAAACAACATCGCCACATCCGGTAAGTTCTCCAGTGACCGTACCATCATCGACTACGGAAGAGAAATCTGGGGAATCGAACCAAGTTACGAAAAACTTCCCGACCCATCTGTACCTAGAGAAATCGCGTTGAAAGGCAACTAAAGCAATACTACCAACTGTCGTGCAGTTAAGGCACTAGAAAAAGTTATTTATTACACAAAGTTTTTAATATAAAGTTTAATATGCGAATGCATACATTTGGAAGATAAATTCTTTATAAGAAAATGAATCTTTATTAGATTGTTAAAAATTGATAAATAGTGTAAATGTATAGGGAAATAATGTTCCAATTCTTAACATGTAAGAAATCTCTGTGTATTTTACAATTTCACATTTTGTTTACGTTTTGCTATGATGCCATTACGGTGCTATTTTTGTTTAATATTGTTTAAAGTTATTAAATAATAAAGTATATTTAAGTATTTACTTGTTTTACATTTTTTTCAATTTTGGCGAATGCCTCGAGGAAAAAATATTTTGCGGACTTTACCATTACGTATTCCTTTAATAGATAATATTAATAATAATGTTTGCTTTGGATCATCCACTTGGACGTTGAACAAGTGGACAAAAGAGTCTACATTTTCATGTAGACTATTGATTACCATAATATTAAATGTTTTTATGTACCGTATTTTCACGCAAAAAGTAATAAGTACCTAGTGCTTTAGAACCTCTTAAAAGAATGTGGGTAGGCTTCAAGCATAATTTCCGTTTTGCATTTGCTATGCTGTACCTTGCGGTTAAAATTAAAACTAATTAAAATCATTTAAAATTTATTTTGTCCACCTCAAAAATTGTCATTATCAATAATGGCGAATGCGCCGGGATAGAAAACTAAATATTTTCCTAAATTAACCGCCACTTACTTTATACCATCCTGCATACAACAAATTATTTACAAATTTAACTGTCACGCAAGGTCAATATTGTACCTATAATTTTATTATTCTTTATTTTTTTTTTTATTTAACATGTTCTACGCTGTATTTATGGTATTTAAACAAATAATAGTATAATTTAAGTTTATTTAACGCCTTTTTCACGAGCAAAGCTTGCGAACGAGTGTTTAATAAAAATGAGTGTCTGGAAAAGTTTATATATAATAATAATAATAATAATAATAATAGGTTATTAGCATCATACATATAAATACCTACATGTTTAGGCAGTCAGGCTTTTCAGGTTATATATTTGTCAAAGTATAGTCAACGAAAGAATAGTATATTCTGTAACAAGTTTGGAATACAGCATATTCCGCTCGAGTGAAGAGTTTGTCACACGAGCCGAAGGCGAGTTTGACGGTTTCACGAGAGCGGAATATGCAATTCCAAACGTGTTTCAGACTATACTTTTTCTACGTTTCCAAAAAATACCATAGAAAAATAATTTAATTGGAAGAAAGTGAGGTTGGATCGGTCTAAAATTTGTTAGATATTAAAAACAGAGATGTCGCCACGAGTGTTCATTCTGTCATCAGATGATAGAATATTTAATTCTGTAACACTTTACGGAATATCTCATTCCATAGATAAAAGTGATATTAGAAGGGTCAAATTCCGTAATAGGAGTAGAAAAATAATATTTATACTTTTCCGCTTATGTTTAAGCGTTAAAAATGGATAAATCTTTATAATATCACAATATATTATAACAATGGTTGGTTTAAGAATTTAGGAATATTGTATACCAGAAAATTTTATGTTAATCAAACTTTGACCTCGAATAACTCTAAAAGAAATCAATTTATCGAAAAATAATAAGAAACCTTTTTGTAGAGCGTTACATTTTATATAAGAAACTGCAATGATCATTACCATGATCATTACCATTATGCATAATTATAAAGTAACTTAAGTTACTTTGATACAGAGGTATAAAATTCCAAACATAAAATTATTTTTTTTCTTGTTAATAAAATGGGAAACTAAAATAAAAACAGCGACCTGGAACGCCCATAATGGAGAGGATTTTTTTTATATTAAATAGAAACAATTGAGAGGGTAAGACCGAAAAATAAAATAAAATTTTATTTAGTGTATATACTTTTTGTATTATTTATTTATTAAAACTGTCATAATTACACTGCCAATCAATATAATAATAATTTAGATAGGCAAGGGAATTAACGAATGTTCGTCATATAAAATTCCAATTTTAATGTTATAGGAAATAACATCCATAATTAATTAAAACAAGTTTTTTAACTGGTTTTATTTATAGATTTACTAAATTTATTATAAAAACTATCAAATTTATTACGATCAAATAAAGGATATCCTAGATGACTAAAAGTAATTTATTATTTGGGAAATTGGATCGTTTCTTAAAATTGAATTTAGTAACGTTTATAAAGATAGAAATTAGATAATTTAATCTAATAAATATTTTTCCCTTAACTTATTTAGGTTATTGAAGGTAAAACAATTATTAATAACAGAAAACTAAGATAGGTAAATATAATAAAATAATGAAACTTTTTTTGTTAAAGCATAATGCGTAGTTATTATTGTCTGCTAAAATGCAATAAAACAAAACAAAATAAAAAAAGCCATTTCCGCCCCATATCAAAACGTGACACATCCAAATACAAAGAATAAAACATCAATAACAATCACTTTACTTCCTTTGTAGTTATTAAGCCGATTTCAAAGAAAAACAGTCAACCTTAAAAAAGAAAAAGTTTTTTTTCTTAAATACTAATTGCCCCATATTACATGGAGAGAACATAGAAATAATAATATATTACTATAGTATTATTTCTATGGTTTTGGGAATGCTTACAAAAACCAGTCTTTTATTAAATTTATTTAAAGTGGTATAATTACTATACCGTCTTCGATATGTCTTCTACGCATGTGGTGGGGCCGGATTAAGCAGCATATAGGCCCGGGGCTATTTGATATTTTGTGGCCCTTATTTTCTTGGAAGCAAGAATTTTTTCGTCCACAAAAAACTCTTAAAACTTGCTAAAATTAAGCCAATACAAAAAATATCGTGCTTTAAATTACATAGTTTACAAAATCGAAAAAAAAATTCTGCCCACCATATGCCATTAAAATTTTTCCATATATTTTGACCCACTAAACACGAAAATTACACTCAATTTTCTTTTATGGAAGCATTTTTAAAATATGAATTTTGACGCTAGCGAATTTAATAACTTAAAAAATTCGTTTTTATGGCAAAAATTGAGGTCGAAAATTTACATATCGTCCTGGGAAGGGTTTAAATCAAACAGATAATTCCAGTTTGAATTTTTTTCGTGAAGCTGACATTTTCACAAAAAAAACAAGTAATGTTGATAAAAATACATGGAAAAATGGCGAAGTTATGATATTTTTAGTGGAAGACCAAAATTCAGCTTTTTGACGATTTGTATTTTATTTTGTTCTTTTATTTTGTAATATGTTTATTCTTTAATGAAAACCTAAGTAAATTGCATGATTGTAATTTTTTGAGTTTTTTACGTAGTTTTTTCAAAGAAAACATTATTCAAAATTTAAATTTGACATGACTCCGTAAACGTGAATTCTTTTGTTTCTTTTGTTGGCATAGTGACATTTTACTGCTATTTTTTGATATTTCAACAAGGTATTTTTATCATGGTTTTATTTAGTTAATAAAAAGTGTAAAATGATTAAAAGAAGTAGAGAGTTCGAGTGCGTAAATAACCCGGGCAATCTGGGTGACGTAAGTGATGAGCACGGAGAACGTTTTCACCAGCAAATGAAGGCTATGGAGCGGCGGTATCACAGCTTCTGGGATGCAGCCATGATGGGTGATTACATTTGGTCCCTCATACGAGAAACGGATTACGAAAGCAACAAAATACAACTTTGAATATCTTCAATGTTCAATATTTATTTTTTAATATTCAATATATAATTTAATTTCAATATTTAATGTTTAAACTAAAAATAAATGTTCAATATTAAATTTTATATAATTCAATAAAATTAAGAAAAAACGTCAAAATTCTCGAAAGACTGAATTTTGCTCTCCCACTGAAAAATTTATAACTTCGCCATTTAGTAAAATAAATCAAACTGGACTTATCTTTTCGATTTCTATCTTTCCCAGAAAGATATGTAAATTTTCGACCTCGATTTTTGTTAAAAAAAAAAGGACTTTTTCAACTTTATAAAATCGCCAGTATCGAACTACTGAGCCGATACCAAAACTATATAAAAGAAAGTTGTAGAGGGCTCAATTACATTTGATTTAAGTGCTTGTTTGGTCAAATCGATAAATTAGAACTCGTAGTATACTCTAAAACGTCAAAGCACCTCAGAAAATTAAAAAACAACAATTGAACATTCATACCTCGAAAACGCTTCCATGAAAAAAATTTTAAGTGTGATTTTCGCTTTTAGGGGGCCAAAATACACAAGAAAATCATAGTTAGACATGGTGGGCAAAATGACCATTTTTACAATTTTATTTTTCTCGCCTTGAGCTGCGCAAAAACTTCTATAAAGTCTATATTATTTACAAAATCGGTTTTAAAATTATAGGATCAGCTATCTTTGACCGTTTTCTTTTTATTAAAAAAAATGTTATACATAAAACTAGGGAAAAAAGTTGTGTGATGATTTTTGTCACTTTAAGTGAATATTTTACCTAACCGTTTTTGTTTTGTTTATTAAACCAGGTATGACTTTTTTAATATATAGCAGGTTAATAAGCAGAAAATTAAAAATACCTACTCATTTTACACAAATATAAATGCTGATATACAGGGACATTTGGGTGCTATAAAAATAACTTTTTTATAATTATTACTGTTTTGCATTAGGTAGGCTTATTTTAATATAATGCAGTAGTTTAATAAAATATTTTTATATTGTTAAGATTTACCAGTGCATAAATAGTATATTATGTATCTAGTTTGAAAACGCCAAATAATTATCTTAAAATGATTTAAATCAAAAATTTGTATAGAGCGCCATCTATGAAACAATAGGGGAATCTGTGTGTCACCGTCAAATGTCACATTTTTAAATTTTATAAACACAGATTATAAAGGTTATAAATCGAAATGTATTTCTTGAAAATTGTCAGTTTATCACAGTGAAAGTAAAGAAAATGTTTTATGAGGACAGTGGAGTCCGTGCCCGAATTTAAGTTATAGTTTACTGCCGGCGAAATTAAGAGGTCAGTACAATGTTCATATAAACTTTTTAAATATTGGCGTTGAGAAACTATTTAATACTTTTGTATTGGGATAATAAAATAATTTTCACATTTAGTATTATTTTACAAGAAAGGCACATTATTTTAACGATTGTTTGACATTTGACAACTGTCAACTAACTTAAAACTTACTTCAGCCCGTGACTAAAAACCTGTTGCTAACTTTAGCCCGTGACTAAAGCGCCATAAAGCCACAATTTGTCAATGTGTATTTAAAATGTCACTTAGTG